AGCTAGCCTTTACTGGACACACAAAAGGAGACAGGAACAAAGGAGGCTTCTTAGAGGTGAAGCCTGTTGCAAATGCATATAACTCAGTGAGGTGCTAAAGGCACATTAGCCCTGCAGCCCAGAGAGATGGTAGGAGTCCTAGAAAGGGCTTGTCCATCTCAGGGAAGGCCTGTGGCCCAGCAGGAAATCATTCATGGGGGCCAGGCCTGTTGACCTATAGTTTCTGCCTCTTGGCTCCTTAAATGACCAATTAGGGGTTGCTGGCATATCCCGGCAATGTTTTTGACCTCTTGGGAGTTCCTGATTTAGGAATTTCCATTTTAGTGAGCTGTTCTGAAGACTGCGAAAGGGTGACTGACTATGGAAATGAGGTGCTGGCAGATTGCTAAGAGGAACTCGAATAGGATCTGGGAGACCAGTGTGTCGAGCCCAAGACAAAATGGCAATGGAGGGGTGGGGAGAATCTGGCCTTTGTGAGTGATCACCAGTTGCCCTTTGGCAACATCTAAGACCTAGAAGGATGTGGGGCAGCTTGGCCCAGGGCTGAGGGGGAGACTCATGTTTCTTTGCCTGGTGACTGTCTCTAGGGGTGATAGTCAGCTCCCTCTCCTCCCCCCACCCCTCCTGGGGCCCCGCGGCAGATTGGAAATGCCAAGGAATGAAGACCACAGGGAGTGGCTCCCACCCCATGACTGAATAGAGCTGGTACACCCTCCATCCCACTCCCTGTTTTGTTTCACTTTGAAATTCAAGTGTTTCCTTTGGTTCCAGAGTCCCCTGATGGATGGAGGTCCCACCCACCGCATAATCATCTCTGTATTGGGGTGCGGTTTCACTTCTTCACTTGCCTAAGAGTCCTTCCTGGGGCTGCCCTAATACACTGTTTGCACTGGCTCTTTATCTCAGGCTCCGCTTGCTTCAGGGAGCTACTTAGTCACTAACATGTCTTGATTACCCAGGGCATGGTCCAAGTTTCAGATATTAAAGTGCCACCTTCTTGGACCTGCCTGCACCCCTTCCTCCTAAAGAAACCAGGCCATTTGGTCTCCCGAGTGGGAAATCAAACTGAGACCAATATGCTCACGTTGGGCAAGTATCACCAAAATGCTCTTCTGAAAACCAGGACCAGGCTTTGAGAACAAAAGTGCAGACACAAATATACTTTTGTCATCTCCATGTTCAAGTTTTTATGAGGTAAAAGCCTATGAGAGCAGTAGCCCCGTTTACAAACATGCCACTACATGCCCACCCAGGCAAGGCCTGCCCATCACCGATGGACATTCAATGATCGACATCTAGGACAGGCCATGATGTTCTACATAGTTAGCTACTTGGATGAAAACTGGTGTCTCAGATGCCATGGGACCCTTTACAGCTGAGCAGGGAGCGGAAGGGACAGCATGTTGTAGGCACTTGAGGCTCTAGGGGGACAAGTACCAGCCAGGCCACTTGTGAGTGCCACCATATTCAACTACAGGAGAGAAGGCGCATAGTCTTGAGAAGCAGCTGCAAGCTCAGGACAGTTGGGCTGTAGCTAAGGAGATGTACAAATGGATGGAGAATCCCACTCTGTCAGGCCGGCCTGCGGGGCTGGGGGGACATGAGAGCTTGATAGCTGGGCCAGGGGCCTGTGTATAGGCCATGCTGGAAGATGCTGTCCAACACTGACCTTAGGATTCTGTTCAGATTACCCACCGCAAGCATGACACTGGTGGCTTGATACGGCACTGTCAAGTGGGCTGTAAGGAGGCTGACATCATTTTCCTATTGATTTCTCTATTCCCTGCTAGCTTGGCTGGAAAAAAAATTCACCAGTGAGAAGGCAATGCACATGGTTTGTCCCAGGGGGTGGTAACACTCTTGTCTCCCCTTCCCAAGGAATCTGGAAGTGTGTGGGGACTACAGAGAGATGATAGGGAAGGACAACTGTGGGTTTCCCCAATGGCAGGTATTGGGGTATCAGGGTCCAGCCAGGCAGTGAACTGAAGGGCTTCACTGCCAAGAGAGACCCTTTTCTTCCCTGCCTCTCAAGGAAGAGAAGAGGGGGACGGCGTCTGAGAAATAAACACCCCACAAACTAGGCACATGGGGGCATGTCAGAATTCAGAGGAAGCTTCTAGAAACAACTTCTAACGGCTGGTCCAGGTGAGCCAGTGGGGAGGAGAGGGAGAGCAACCTTTGCTTTCTGGACCCCAGGGATCAGGGCGGTGCCTCTGGAGGACAGTGGTGTACTTTAGCGTGTGGAGTTCAGGGGCCCTGACTTACATGAACCCCTTTCCAAATGTCTCCCAGCACTGGATAATTTGGCATAAACTGCTAATGCTCAGTTCACCCTAAGAACTGTGCTGGAAATGATTCAGAATAACAACTTTCTATAAAAGATGTGACAGGGGCCCAGAAAAAGCAAGCAAGCAACTGCCCAAAGCAACACAGCACATTGTCAGTGTTACTTAGCCAGGGCAAAGGGAAAGTTTCATCGGAGCATTAGAATCAGGAAATCATGTGGTCTGGTCCTGGTATAGTCACATATGTTTCTCATTGTCTTCCTCTGACCCATCGGCTTGTACCGTGTCGCCTGCGGATGCTGCTGTAAATCCAAATGGCCCTGGGCACAAACTAGGGGATCTTGTCCTCTAGTTTAGATCAACACTTAATCCCCCAGTTTGCAGCTCAGTATTTTCTCTGAACGCTGTCAGGCTTTGTTGGACATCTGTCCTCTCCTGGTTCTTTAGTCGAAGCATGAATGTCCCTTCTTGTGCTCCAGAGAGCAAGAGCTAGTTCAACAGCCAGATGCAGATCAATCCAAGTTAAACCCAGAGACCAGGGGAAGTTTGGCGCTTTATTCTGGCACTGATACGTATGCTAACTGCTAACTATGAAGGTGCTTCTCTAAGAAGCTAGTTCCCACGCGGTCCTCTGCTTGGGCAATCCCGGGGGAAGACCTACGAGTCTGTCATCATCATGCCACAGACAGGATTGAGATCATGGGCTGGTAGAGGGGCCCCGTGCCCTTGGCTATCTATCTGAATCAGTAAGGACGTGGGTCTCTGTATTTTGGGGGACCAGGTGGGCAGGGACCCAGGTCAGGGATCAGTTTAGTTTTTGCATCAGACTTGCAGCTGTGGCTGCTCCCTGGGGAATAGGGGGTGGAGCAGGGGTAGGGCACAGGCCTGCCACCTTGCTGGGGTTCTGCTTCCGCTTCCAGGCATTTTGCCATCAGTCCATGCTCACTCATGGGAGGCAGAGAAGCTGGGGGTATGGGAACATGGGGAGTCGTACCCTGATAGGGCACTTTGACAAGTTCCAGGAATTCCAGCTCTCAGCCTGATGGTGTTTCTGCTGAGTCCCAGGTGGGAGGTGGCCCTTCAGCCCCCCGGCCTTAGTCCCCGCAACTGTCTCATTGATGCAGATGCCTCCTTGAGGGGCAGGTGACCTGCAGGGATGTGAGGCTGCTTGAACACAGGGATGAGGGCCCAGAAGGCCCTGGGCACCTGGGGGTGGCACTGGTGCTATGAGCCAGCTATCAGGCTGCTGAGTGGCCCCTGAGGTGGGTCACCCCCAGAGGGGACTCTGAGATGGACAATGGTGACACACATGCTAAGGCCCCCTTTCTCCTCGGCACGGATCACCCGCTTTGGGGTATAGCCCCCCAGGAATTTTTGCAACAGATGCTGAGAACAGGGCAGGGTTTGGAGAGGGTGCAGGGAGCCCCACTTGACTGGGACTGTCTTCTCTCCACATTCAGGGGTGCGTGGCTGAGAACCCCTCTCAACTAGGGGATGCCCCTTGGGTCCATGCTCCCCTCTGAGGTGCCGTCCTCCTTCAGTGTCCCCGGGGAGGGCTGGCCCCATCTGCCCTCCCTGAGGTCATCCCCTCCCTCTGTGATCTCTGTGATCTTCCAGCATGCCAAAGAGCTTCCTTCATGCCAAAGCCGAGGAAATGCGGATAAGGGGAGGCCTGGGAGACGGGGCTGGGGAGGTGGGTAATTTAGCCTGGGACCAGCATGGTGGGGTTCCTAGGTGAGGACCAGGCCCACCATCAGGGCTCTCTGCACAATAGCTGAATGGGGCACCAGACAGGGACGCCCTGCTTTGAAACATTGGAAGTTTCCCATTTCACACCCCACAGAAGCGGCCATTTCATCTCCACACACCACAGCCTGCCAAACAGCCAGGCTAGAGGGAGCCCCCACAAATGCAGTGGGCCCAGGGTAACCCTCTAACACTTTCACACAACGGACGAGAGTCGGCCACACCAGCTCCTGAAACACATGTACATTATTTGGAGAGGGTCTGGCTTCTCCCTGCCCCCCACCCCCCACCCTCTACGGCCACGCAGCTCCTTTCCCACCTTGGACAACTTCCGTCCACTGCTTTGACATGCAGTGTGTCCCCAGCTGTGCCCACTGCCTCCTCTTAGCACGGGACACATCATTTGCAAACTAATGCTCACATGCTGTGCCCAAAAGAGCCATGAGCCGGAAGGAAAGGGGCTCTGGTGATTTCTGGAAAGCCCCGAGAACAGCGGTTCTTTGAGAGTCAGTGAGAGTTAGGGGTTCCAGGCCATGCAGACAGGTGCCAGGATGCCTCGGCAGAGGTAGCCTCCCTGGGCTGTGAGGTGATTCTGTAGCTCTGGTCATCTACAGTGGCCAGGTTCTCCCCTTTTATTTGAGGGGGACTTGCCCTCATGATCTTCCTCTAGAGGGGTCTCGGGCTTAAATTCTTCTCCCGCCGCTTCTCCCCAGGGGCACTCTCCCTCCCAGACAGCAAACCCCCCCACACCCACGCATGCCGTGGCTGTCTGCTTCTCTGGTTGGGAAGGAACCTTTGCGCCATCCTGGGATGGAATCCAATTCCCTTCCCTCAACCCGTCTTTTATGGGTGGAGGATGGGGGGCTATGGCCAGGGACAGGGGCTGCTGCCAAATCAGCTCGGTTGGTAGCAGACGGTGCTGAAACTCAGGCCTCCTGGTCGCCAGTCTGGGGTTCTTTCCAGCATCGGTGTATTGGTTTCTGAAGTTCCTCCCAGCAGGCCCCGATTGCGTCCTCCTCGCCCTTCTGCGCCCCCAGCCTCCCTTCTCCGCCCACTACATGGAGCTGGGGTTATAGCAGAGCATATTGAACTCCAGCGTCTCGTCCCAGTGCCGCAGGAGCACGAATAGCTGGCGGGCGGCGGCCCTGAGTGTGCTCTGAGTGCGGCCCTCCGGCACCTCCTGCTGCTCCAGCCACGCATGCGCCTTGGCGGCCACCAGCTCCCATTCCACAAAGTAGGTGGCTGAGTAGTGCTCCAGCCAGGCCAGTGCCACCACAGTGGCCCACAGCTTCCCTGAGTGCTCTGTCCCCGTCCTGGACTCCCGGTCTAACTTGCCCTGGGCCCCCCGCTCTGCTGAGGGCTGTTGAGGGGAGTAGCTGGTGCAGAGATGGGGACTCGAGGCCTTAGGCTCATTCTGGTGGGCTGGGGTCGAGACGCGGTGGCAGGTGAATGGCGAGGTCCACTTGAGCTTCTCCAGGGGGATGCGGGTGGCCTCGCAAAAGGCTCGGTTGAGCAGGAAGGCTCCAGAGGCCAGCTGCAGACACACCTGTATGGGAAGGGTGGGGCATGCTTGCAAACTTCCCCTGCCCTTTGCAGAGGGGAAGGGGGGGGGGGGAGGCCCCCTGCCCAGCTCCAGGGCTAAGGCCAGGGCTGTGCACTCACCAGTGGGATGTAGTTGAGACTCAGGCTCGCTGGCGATGCGGGGCTAGGAGCCTTGAGCAGTGGCTTGCTCAGAAAGCCCCTGGCTGCTTGGGTCAGCATCTTGGACTTGCTGAGGCTTAGCCTGTGTGGGTGAAGCCGGTGAGGGTGGACACAGAGCCTGAACATGTGCCTGCCCCTTACCCATACTGTGCCCCCATACTCAGTAGGCTCTGTAGGGCTAGGCCAGAAGAATCTGACACATGGCTTCTTCTAACTGCCTCGCTTGACAGCAGGGGAAACCGAGGCTGGTGGGGGCTGCATCTGCCCAGAGTCAGCATCAGCCTTAATGAGGAGCATATTAGTAGGATTTTTTTTTTCTGAGGGGAAGGGAGGGCCTCCTCAGCAGTGCTGGGGGCCGCCCCTGGGGGTGCTGGGTCCCGTGGTGGAGTTCGATGGCTCTTGGTTTGGCCTGAAGATGTGGGGCTCCTCCCCCAGTGGTGCTTGGGGCCCCGCCAGGATCACACCCAGTAGTGCTGGAGCAGGGCTTGTGATGGGCTTGAACTCAAGTTCTGGAGTGTTCTTTCTGTCACCCTGTTTTTCAGAGGATTCTCTGTCCTGCTCAGGAGCGCTGTTCACTGAGAAGATGAACCTCCTGTGGGGGAACTTCCCTGCGGGTGACACCTGGGTGTGGTGTGGGGGTCTTCCTAGAGCAGGGGTCTTACACTCAGCTCAGCAATGTGCCTTTCTGTGATGGCCAGGCTGGGCGCAGCCTTTGCCTTCCGAGTCAGGGAGTGTCCCTGGAAACTCAGGATGGGCGGGGGGTGGGTAGGGAGAAGATTGTCCACACACTGGGAATCCCACTTACCTGGATCCAAAGATAGTCTCGGAGACCTTCAAGGAAGAAAGGGTATCCGTAGCCAGAAAGCGCCGGGGACCTAGAGAGTCACAGAATGACCATTGTGGCTCATGGGGTGATCCTGTCCAACTGCTGGCCGCCAGTGGGGGAGATGGTATCCCGGGAGGGCAAGGTGTGACCCAGAGAGTCAAATCTGTGTCTAGGTTTCCTGGGACCCGGTTCCACTCTAGGATGAAGGGCTGATGTAGGTGCAAGGAGGGTTCCTGGGGCCAGAGCTACAGCACAGCTGGTAGGGGGTTTGCCTTGCATGTAGCTGACCTGGGTTGTGTCTCTAGCACCCCATATGTCCCCTGAGCCTTACCAGGAGTAAGACCTGAGCACAGAGCCAAGAGTAAGCCCTGAGCACTTCCAGGTGTGAGTGAGGGGGAAAAAGAAAGAAAAGAAAAAACAAACTGGTTCCTGGCATCTTCTGGAAGATAATTTGTGAGGACAGAGTTGGTGTCATGTCACCCCATAGAAGACCGCCACCCCCAGGAACGCCCTGCTCCACAATGACTTTTCTTTCCTGGCTTCTTGCTGGGGGTGGCAGTTTGGTCCCTTGTCTGGGAAAGGGAGAGAAAGGGATCAGAATGTAGACTTAGGTCTGCCACCAACTTGCCATGTGCCCTTCGGCAAGGCACTTGACCTCTCGGAGTCTCTGTCACCTCCTCTTTAACTGGGGACTTCTGCTTCCTCTCACAGGCCTGCTTTGGAACTCTGTGAACCACAGTGCTCTTCAGGATAAGCCTCCCAGAGTCCTGCTCCGTGGTGGTCACGCTGTCACTGAGGAGGGAGCAGGCAGTGCGTCTACTCACCGTCAGAAGCTGTGCACTTCTCGTCGGCTGGGGGCAGGGTTTCTTGCGGGGGTGTGGCAGGGCTTTCACCTACAACACAGAACCCAGCAGGGCCTCACTTCCCTGCACCTCCCTTTCTCTACTGCCCCCACGGACAGGGGTGGTCTGACTCCACAGGAGCAGGGAAAGCAAGGGCAGAGGCTCCCCTCTTGCTGCACGGGTCTGTCTCTTCCACTGCTCCACTGTGAGGGGCAACCATCCTGGTTCCCCACTCAATAGCTGTGTGGCCTGGGTACCACGGCAACCGAATGCAATTTTGCTGCCTTTCTGTATTTCAAGCACAAATGGGAGAGAAGAGTGCCTGCTTCATGGTGCTGCTGTGTGGATCCAATACGGAGATCCTACACGGACGGTGCTTGGTCCCTAGCCTGGTAAACACTCAACAAGGACTCAGCTGCAGGCCTTGCAGCAGAGAGCAGGGAAGCAGGCTGGAGCCTGAAGCGGGTGGGGAGTGGGGAAGCAGACATGTAGGCATCAGGTCTGAGTTTCATGAAGGAGAGGTTCAGCCTAGCTCTCTCGGAGGCGCCAGAATATAGTACTGACTTTGCGGAGGGTCCTGAGCCTTGGTTTCCCTGCCTGTAAAATGGAATAATAATTGCAAAGAGTTTGCCTAAAATGTTTCATTGAAGTGATTACTATTTTTTTTTTCTTTTTGGGCCACACATGGCGATGCACAGGAGTACTCCTGGCTCATGCACTCAGGAATTACTCCTGGCAGTGCTCAGGGGACCATATGGGATGCTGGGTATCGAACCCGGGTTGGCCGCATGCAAGGCAAACGCCCTACCTGCTGTGCTATCACTTCAGCCCCCTGAAGTGATTACTCTTAATGATTATCATTGCAAAGGTTGGTGAGTGATGATGATAACTATAAGGAAATAATCCGAACTTTGGAAACAGCCTTGTGCACAGATATATTCAACAAAGCCTCCATCTCCTCTGGATACCCTTAGCAGTCCTCAAGATCAGGTCAGGGTATTACTGGTCACTGGTTCTTAAGAACGAGACAAGAGTGAACTAGACACTTAATGTGAGGCAGCCAGGAGGCAAAGAGTGTGGAAGATTTCTGGGGCTTCTGCAGACAGACATGGCCTGCATTCAGGTCTTGGTTCTACCACAGGCTAGCTGTGTGTTCTTGAGCAAATCACCTAACCTCTCTGAATCTTCATTTCCTCCCCCTCTTCATGGGGAAAATAATCTCTCTGTATTGGGGAAATGGGAGGGAGAGGGGTGAGCGGTGGTGGTCCCAGCATGGAAGAAACTCAGAATGTTTGTCAGCATCATCCTTGCTGAGGAATAGGGTTGGGGATAGAATAAGAGCTGGGGAGTCATAGACACTGGGTGCCAATCAGAGGGAAGGAAAAAGAAAGGGGTTTGTCATTCTGACAGACATCCTGCGCTGCTGACAGATGAGCTGGGGGTTACAAATGGGATAGCCCAGAGATCTCCTCCAGATTGAAGCCCAGCTTGACTCAAAGGTAAAGCAGGTCCCTGCCCACCGATGAGTTTAGAGATTCTGTGGGAGCAAAGAGTGGACAGAAATGAATTATGAGGAGCTGCTCTAATTTTTTTCTTTTTGGGTCACACCTGGCGATGCTCAGGGGTTACTCCTGGCTCATGCACTCAGGAATTACTCCTGGCGGTGCTCGGGGGACCATATGGGATGCTGGGAATCGAACCTGGGTCGGCCATGTTGGCTGCGTGCAAGGCAAACACCCTGCCCGCTGTGCTATTGCTCCAACCCCTCTAATTTTTTTTAAGCTTCAATATGTGCCATTTCTCTCCCCCTGCCCCCACCATCCCATGTGACAGCGCTTGGGGCTTACTTCTGGCTCTGTACTCAGGAATCACTTCTGGCAGGCTCAAGAGACCATATGGGATGCCAGGGATTGAACCCAGGTTGGCTGTGTACAAGGCAAGCATCCTACCTGCTGTACTATTTGTCCCCTACATGCCTTTTTTTTTAAAATCGAAATTATTATCCAGTCTTTTGGATTAAAAGATTGTCTAATCCAGTGACTGGGCTAGTGACCGGCCAAGTGGGACCTTAGATGTCTCCGCCCCACACCTGCCTGCCCGGGAGGAGACAGAGATGCTGTAGCACATGCGAAGCCAAAAAGGAAAGGGTGAGGATGAGGGAGAGCAGTCAGGCTGTCTGCAGAGGGACCCTGAGGCACACAGACAGAGGGTGAGGTTCTGCCTAAGAGTTCAAGGTCACAGAAAACTCAAATAGTGTATCTTCCAGGCCCCAGTCTTGGGCATGATGAAATCAGGAGACACAGAGAGGAAGATGCTGGAATGATGATAGCAGCAGAAGGTAGGACCAGCAGTTGGACCCACCTCTGTCTTGTCCCTCATTAACTTTCTTGGTAATGACTGTCTGGAAGGACTGAGTCAGGGAACAGTCACTTCGGGTGTTGGACCTTGAGAGGAAAGGGTGGTGGGCGTGTCAAGGGGATGATCTACCTTTCCCACTGGGTGGGAGGTGAGGCTGCCAAAGCTGCCTTTTTGTTCACTGGGTCCCTTTGCCCATCTCAGGCCAGCTGACTCCAAGATCCCCCCTGCCCCCCACCCAGGGTCTGATCTGGTGTGTGTTGGGGCAGGCTGAGGATGTTCTTACTTGGAATCTGAGAGTTGCCTTCACCTGCGGCTGAGTCTTCAGTGTTCAGAAAGATCTGGGGTCGCCCCACGCTGGCGTCCATGCTCTTCCAATGCTGCGTCAGAGCCTGCGAGCTTATCACCCGCCAAGAAGCACCTTCCCAAAGACAGGAGAAGGGGTCAGAAAGGGACACATGTGCCAGTCTCTCACCTCCGCTCCCAGGCTGGTGCAATGCTCCAGCTTATGTCAGTCATTGAAGGCAGGAAGTCCTAGATAGGGCAAGATCCCCAGCAAGTCAGAGCATCCTTGGTTTGAACCTTTGCTCCACTGCTTCCTAGCTGGGTGCCCTGAACCTTCATTTTATCACCCGAACAATAAAGCTATATACCATGTATCTTGCCAGGTAGAAACTTGCTAATTTAATATTTAGAAAGCAACAATGGTTTCGAACTACAGGATTTTTTTTTCAGCATCTCCTCCTCACTGTTTTCTGTCTCTATCAGAGACCTTATAGACAATGCACCCTGAATTGTGTTTTGGAGGAACACACTCAGAAAACATCAGCCTATACATTGTTAATTCTGTTGGAAAAGAGAGTTTGGAGAAACTGCTTATGATCTGGTCCCTTATCTGAGCCTCTGGCTCTTTATTCTCATGCTAACAAATCTGAGAGATCTATAGTAAAGGAAGCAAGAACTTGCATGGGAACGAATGCAGTGGCTCCTGAAGCGCCTTCCTAATAAAATATTTCCCAATATTTTTGCTCAATGATCATTAGCAAGAGCGGGAACCAGAGTTCTGATTTCCAGGAATGCCCTCTGGGAAGCATTGATCCAGATCTTAGGGGGCTGGGGGAATCAGCTATGGACCAGGCCTTCAGAGGTGCTACAGGGAGAGATGCTAAGGGCAATGGCCAAGAATGAGCATGGCCAGCTGAGGAAGAGCCAGTAGCACCATGCAGGAAAGGAGAGCAATAGAGGGAAAGCAGGGGCCATGGCTCATTCATTATCTTGGAACCAGTGATTTTTAAAGATGGAAGGGGAGTATCAGGAAAGAAAATGAATAAACTATTTTGTTTCCAAACACAATTCTTTTGGGACATCTGCTAAAAAAAGATAGAAGGGACACACACACACACACACACACACACACACAGAGAGAGAGACAGAAAGACAGAAAGAGAAGAGAGAAAGCGAGAGAAGAAAGGGGGGAATGAGTTGTAAAGGACAGGAAAACGTAATTCAGAAAAGAAAATTGCATCTAGAAAAAATTTCACAAAAAGCTAATAAAAAACAACCCAAAAAAATTCCTGAAAGAAAGCCTCTTCCCATCGATCAGACTGGTAGCTTTTAAAATAGCATTTCTCCACTGGTGGGAGGAGGGATATTGGCACCCTAGGATATTTCAAGGGGGCCTCAGGTGAAAGCCTTGTCAAAGCGGGGGTCATGCTTGAGACTAGAGGGAGGGGAGCACAGGAAGGCATCAGCATTGGAAAGAAACCTTTGTGAGGAAAGGGCTGAGAAACTCTGATTTTGACCATTTAATGCTGCTGAGGGGTATGGGAGTAGCCTTTAAGGGAGGGTCAGTAGATCACATACATCATGATTTTAAAACTGACAGAGCCTTTGATGTGCCATTTTCTCCGAGTTTGCTAACCCCAAGTTTAGTTAGGTAGCTAGTTAACCCGCCATGGGCTAACCCAAGAGAAGAGAGCCAGACAAATGCACTGAGATGGAGCCAGAGTGATAGTACAGCGAGTAGGGTGTTTGCCTTGGATGCGGCTGACCCAGGTTCAATCCCCAGCACCCCGTATAGTCTCCCGAGCACCATCAGGAGTGATTCCTGAGTGCAGAGCCAGGAGTAACCCCTGAGCATTGCCAGATGTGACCCAAAAAGTAAAAAAAAAAAATCCAAAAACAAAATCGCCCTCCCAAACCCAAGTACATCAAGATGTTTTCTGCAGCATCATTTACAATTACCCAAAGTGAAATGAACTGAAAGGCCAAGACTAAGTGACTGGTTAAACTAGTTCTGATGAGCCCAATAAGTTGTGGTGGAGTTGACGAAGGGAGTGTAAGCCACAGATTGGGGCTCAAAGCCTCCTTGCTGTGTTACCTCAGGCAAATGACTAAGCCCCTCTTTTTCAGTCTCCTCATCTGCAAAATGGAATCACAGTGTCCACTTTGCAGACATGTTTGGGGGCTTAAATGACTTCATATCTGCAAAGTGCTTTGGAATACAGTTAATTGGCGATCATGATGACAATGACAATGGTGCTAGTGGGGTGGTGGTAATGGTTTCCTGCAGTAGAAGGCAAATGATGAGGGAACAGCTGCCATTCTGAAAGGGAAGAGATTCACCTTCATAGCAATTTAGTCCCTACACACATATTTTATAAACAATAGGACAAATACATACGATCCAATTCATGAATGGTGATCTGACTTTCAATTCTTCTCCAATGAGAGAATGTTCTGAGAGAATGGACACACCAAGATGTAAGCAGTATGTCTTTGGGCCTAGTATCTCATTTCTTGTATGTCTTCCTCTATTTTGGAAATTTCTAGTGACCATATCACTCTTGCATTGGAGAAATAAAATAAGTCATATTCATTTGGTGGGGAAAGGCGATTAGGATGGTTTTAAAGCCCTTTCAGTCCAGTGGGATGGGGGCTTAGATGACCCCGACCCATGGCAGCCAACCTGTCTCCCAGGGACCTTTCTGCTTCTGGGACATTCCTTGTATCTCTTCTAGCAGGCCTGTGCTTCATGTCTCAGCCCCTCCCTGACCCCCAGGAACTGCCTGGCCTCTGTCCTGCCTTACCAGAGTTGGGGTAGCGCACCACGGTGGGCAGGTACTGGTTCTTGCTGGTGTCCACCGGCACGAAGGCTGTGTACTTGCTGATGATGTTGCAGGCCTTGCTAGTGTGCACCGCACTCACCTGGTAGCGGCGTCTGATCCCTACGGAGTGAGGAGAAGAGCTCAGAAAGTCCCCCCTGACTTGGAGACTCTGGAGCTAAAAGGGGGCAGGTGAAAGTCTGTCTTTGGGACCAAGTTTGTCTTGGAAATCAAGGGGTTGTCAGTTTGCCAAATAAGAACATTTGTAAATATCTCCAGGTAGTTAAGCTCCAACCTCACCTGTCCAACCAGATGTCAAATAAAGACATCTGAGCTTGAAAGACATCTAGGAATCAAAGACAGGCACTTCCCTTAAATGGCCACAGGATTATTAAAAATTGAAAAGCCCTCTGCCTGGTCGTTCTCCGTCTAGCAGCTGCCTGCTAAGAACCTTGCTGCAAAAATTCTCAGGTTCCTCAGATGGCAGTTGGGGACACTGGCCTGACCCCTGGGGACAATTTTAGAAGAGATTGAAAACCTGAGAAGGAGCAGCAGGAGCAAACACAGGGAGTTAGCAATGGGCCCGAGATCAAGCAGGTCTGACTTCAAAGCCTCCCCCACGGAACTGTCTCCCAGGCTAAAGTGGGTGAAGAGGCAAAAGGACAGACACCTGCCCTGCCAACACGGGTGATTGCAGGGAGAAGGCAAAAATAAAGAGAACATGCCACTACAAAATAAAAAAAAATGCAAACCCTTGGGGCGGAGTGATAGCACAGCGGGTAGGGTGTTTGCCTTGCATGCAGCCAACCTGGGTTGGATCCCCAGCATCCCATGTTCCCTGAGCACCACCAGGAGTGATTCCTGAGTGCAGAGCCAGGAGTAACCTCTGAGCATCGCCAGGTGTGACCCAAAAAGCAAATAAATAAATAAATAAGGAATGCACATAGTTGCTTTGAATCTTTGTCTGCACTCCAGGGCTCATTCTGTTAAGATGGGTTGTCCCTACTGCTAAATCACCTCCCTGTCCCTTATCCCTGCACGTGCTCTTTATAGCACTGCTGACAAATACACTCAATTAATTATGTACATAATGATTGCATTACGATGGTGGTCATCGCCTGGTGCTCTCTTGCTTCGTAATCCCTAAATGATGTTGATGAGCGGGTGGATTGAGTAGGTGGGAAGTAGTGGCCTAGGGTGTGGCCTGGGGTGGGGGGCAGTTTGGCCTGGGATGGAGCTTTGTCAGATGCGGGGTGGGTAGTGAGGAGGGGGCGGGTCTGGGGCGGCTCTGGGGGCGGAGCCTCGGACCCTGGAGCAGGTGTGGCAGCTGTGCTCACCTTGCTCAATCTCCCTTTCGCGCTCGGCCAGCTGCTCAAAGTCGCGGATGATGGAGCGGGCCGCCAGGTGGTGGAAGGTCTCGCTCCAGGGATCGACGGCTTGCTCGTCGTCCAGCTCAGGGTCCTGGGGCCCCAGTTCGAAGCTCACCTCCCATTGCAAGTGTTGATTGTCGAGCAGGCCTCTGACCACCACTTTGCCCAGCACTGGGTCGTGGGTGGAGGGCTTGTCTGGCCGGCTAGGCTCCTCGAATTCCGCGGGGGACTCCCAATCCGAGGACGTCTCGGTCTCCAAGGAGGGGTGGTGGGACGTCTCTGGAGGAGGTGGAGGAGGGCAAGTGGGACGAGCTTGGGAGTTGGGGAACAGAGGGCGATCCCCAGGAGGCATGGTCCTTTCCCAGGGAGCAGCCAACTCTAAGCACAAGTTCTCCCAGGAAGAGATAGCCCTTCCCCTTTACACTTGGGGTGTCTTTCCCCAAGATTGGAGCAAAGCCACCTCTCAGGAAGCTGGACCCGAGGAGGGCAAATGGGGTGAGGAGGGGACCTTTCTCTACTGCCAGGGTGACACCTGGGGGGCCCAGGGACTGCCCAAAAGGTCAGGCTGATTGGGAATGGGTGAAGTTGACAGGTCCTTAAGGAGGGGTGGAAGTCCCACGGGCACAGACATGGGTATCTGCCTTGTGTTCCTATCTTTTGAAACTGAGTCCCAACCCAGGACCCCTGTAGTCCCTGATTAAGGTCCCAACCCTGTAAGTGCTTACCCAGGTTGGCGGGGCTGAGGCTGTCTGAGGCAGGCTTGTGGCTGGAGCAGAGATCCACTCCTTTCATGGCACTCCAGGTTTCAGTTACCTGGTCACTGGCCAAGGCAGGTTGGCACCCTTGGGGCAGCAGAGAAGGTCTACGGGCTCCTGCGGCCTGGGTTTTGGGTCCCTGGCTCAACTGTTGGCCATTGTTCTGCAAAAGCTAGGAGTGTGATAGGACAAAAGAGAGGCTGAGTCTTGGGTGCTGGCCGGGCCCCTTGAGCTCCAGTTGAAGCTCCTTCCCTGGGCATTACAGGGAAGTACCCTCCCCACTGTCCAGCAGATACAGTATAAATAATCCCAGACCAGGGATAACATCCAAACCACACACACCATGGAAAGGCACATATATACAGCAGGTGATTCTGAGTACCCTTTTTTGGTGGGGGGTGGTCATAAAATTCAAATCTCTCCCCCACCCTCGTGTGTGTGTTTGTGTGTGTGAGTGTGTGTGTGTGCGTGCATGTGGGTGTGTATGTGCTAGTTAAAATTATCATTCTTTCCCCTTATAGCTTCTCATATGTTGTGCTTAAAATGTCTTTCTAAAAAATAGAAAAATTCTTCCAGAATTGTGATTTGTTTAAATCTTTGATTCATATGAAATTAATTTGGGGGCAGGGAAATAGGAACCAGACATTCCTTGGTTTTCTGAATTGTACAAATTTCAATACCATTTGTTGATTTCAGGCCATTGAATTCTTAAGATTGATCAATTCTCCACCTTTATACCAACATAGATCTTAGGTGAATTTAGTTTTTCTGTCTGTTCTGCTTTGTGGATTAAGTCTGTCTATTCTTATACTGACACAAACAACAGCAAAGACAGGGGATAAGCTGAGAAATACATTTGTGACATGCACAACAAAGAGCTTTTTAATGCTGTTTAAGGCTCTATAAATCACTACGTGGGGGGGGGGCGGGGGCGGTGGTCATAAGAAACTCAGTGGAGCAATGAGTTAAGGACCTTTACAGGCAATTTCTGTCAAAAATGCTCAGACTAATGAAAAATTAGAGTAATTTAAAAATAAGTCCTGATTTTCTCCATTCTCAGATTGACAAATAATTGAATTTTGATGGTTCCAAGTGTAGTCAAACGGGGAGACTGAGTCTCTTGTGGATGGTTGGTGGTAGCACGAAGTGGGGGTCATTTGCTGATGAATATGAAAAAGGTACAAGCTCCCTGGATCGATTGATTTCATCCCTAGGATTTTAATCTGGCGGAAGAGGTCAAGGATGCAAAAGCCTATGTGCATGTATTGTGTATTTGTTTTGGTGTCATTTTCAAAAGTGAAAATCTGAAAACAGTCTAAATGTCTTTCAAGTGAGACTGGCAAATACACGTGGCCCCTCTATGCCATGGAACGCAGAGCAGAACTAAAAAGAAAGTAGGTTTCTTCATTCCAGTATGGGAAGCTGTCCAAGGGAAAGCACTTTCTGCTCCTCATTACTCATAATAAGGGAAATACAAATCAAAACAACAATGCCTGTGAGAACAGAGAGAGTCTGGAAAGAGTCTGGAAAGAGCCAGTGTTGTCGGGGTTGTGGTGAGAAAAGAATCCCCCTCCACTGTTGGTGGAATGTCATCTGGTTGAGTCTATAGGAAGCAATTTGAAGATCTCTAAAAAAAAATGGAAAAAAAATTCCATAGAATTAGCAATGCTACTTCTTCACATCTATCACCAAAACAAAAATATTATTTTGAATAATAATGTATAATAATTGGCTAAGTGTAGTGATAAACCCTTATGTTTTTATGTGTTTATGTTTATCACTACACTTAGCCAATATATGAAAATAACCAATAAATGAATGGATCAAGAACTGTGGTATCCATACACAATGGAATAGTATGCTGCTCTAAGAAAGAACAAAATAATGCAATTTGCAGCAAGATAGATGAAACTAGAGAATATCAAACTGTGATGCTCATCAGAAGGAAAGAGAAAAATACAGAATGATCTCTTTCACATGTGGGACTTAGAGATACACAGCAAAGTAGCAACAAAGGTCTAAAAGGAGAACTTAGCCACACAATTGAGTTGGTGGTGGGGGTGCTTGAAAGGGAGGATGTTGGAATCCTTGGGGGAGAGAGGTGAGTACATTGGTGATGGGTATGATACTAGAATTATGTGTAAGAGAAACCCTTATTAATAGTATTGTGAACCACAGAATCTCAATCAATAAAATCTTTTTAAAAAGAGAAAGCACTTTCAAAAGGTAAGCTGCAGTTATTATTTTCTTTTCTCTGAGTATATATTACTTTTGTAATGAAAGAATATTAAATTAGTTAAACATGGATCCTATGCCTTGGGGAGCTCATAGATCTGCCTAGAATGAGGACAAGGTGCGGGGGGGGGGGGGGGAAGGTATATTCTAGGTGTAACAGAGAAAAAAGGTGTCATTCTGTCAGTCCAGTAGTTAACCATGGGATCTTTTCCATTTCAACCAAGTCTCCATTGGAAAAGGAATTGTGTCTCCCAATTAGATAGGGGTCCTTGAATCAGGGCTTAGATTTCCCCCTTCCTTCTTTTCTGGGCCTGAGGTTCTTGAAATTGTACTAGGGTGTGAGAGCTGAGAGGGACTGGTCATTCTCAGATGGCCTCAGTGGGATAGGTATACAAACAGGGCTGCTGGGTCCCTTGAGAGTCAGGACTCCCCTCCTCCTTCAGAATAGGATTCTCAACACCCCTGCCCCACCATTACTGACCACACTGAAACACAGAATCTGCTGTAGTTTCCATGGCAACAGAGTCTAAGCTCCGATCTTTCCCCAGAGGCTATAGAGAGTGCGTGTGTGTGTGTGTGTGTGTGCGTGTGTGTGTGTGTGTGTGTGTGTCTGCATGACTGCCTTCACACACATGCATTTTCACAGATGTGTGAGAAGAATCAGATTGGAGAAAAAATCAGGCAGGGTACAGGGATAGATGAGTGAAGATGATCCAGAAAAGCTCTAAAGCAAGTAGGAGAGAAGTTAAGAGAACCCAGGCTTCCCAGAGCTCTCAGTACGCAGAGCCACATTTAAAGGACACCCAGCATGTACTGGGGGGCTACCCCAGGCACTTAACCTCTTATCAGCTGGTGCCCCACCTCTTACAGTTGGTGCCATCAACAGATTTCTGTTGGTATATATTAGCGTGATTATCTGCATAAGCCATTCTTCCCATTTTATAGGTGAACAAATTAGGGCTCTGGAGGTTAAGAAACATGCTTGAGGAGCAGTGACTACCTCATTCAAGGTCTTCCAGCCTGCATCAAGTGATTCCTGGTTAAACACGGAGAACAGCCTTAGGAGGTGGTGCTGGAGTGATAGTACTACGACTAGGGCATTTGGCTTGCATGTGGATAACCTGGGTTCAAACCCCCCCCAACACACACATTCTTCATATGGTCCCCAATCCCACAGGAGTGATTCATGAGTGAAGCTTCAGGTATAACCCCTAGGTTTCCCCAAAAATGACTTTTAGGGACAAGGTGGTAGTCTTTCTGTCCCTGGAGAATGTTAAGGCTGAAGAATAGTGAGGGTGGGGAGGAATAGAGTAGTAGGTAGGAGAATACAGGCACACCTGAGGGAGAGTGAAAGACTGCTTTTGTGGAACTGTAGACTCACAAGGACACATAACACCCATTCTTTAGAAAATAAAAAAAGGCTTATACAGATAATACCAAGACTCAATTGGCTCTAGGACATTGTGAACCTGTTATTTTTTTCTCCTCACCACCCCCTTAAGGAAGTTTATCAGTGTCTGCAGATGTTTTGGGCCAACTTTGGAGGAGGAGTGTTACTGGCATACTGCTTACTAGAGGCAGGTATGCTGACAATTTACACTCATGTTTGACAGTGATCACGGTCACGGTCATGGTCCTCCCATTGTTCATCGATTTGCACGAGCGGGCCCAGTAACATCTCCATTGTGAGACTTGTTGTTACTGTGTTTGGACAGTGATCATGCCAGTAATGCTAAGACAGAGGCCCTGCTCTCATCTGGACAGTGAGGGGTTGGTTCTGCTGTGGCTCACATTCTTAAATGACTTCAGCGATGGATGAATGCACAAACTCGGGAATCTGCAGGAGTTCCAGAGTGATAGAGAAAGGGAGCAAGGGATTTTTAAGGTAGAGCATTCTGGGTTGCAAGGCTCTGACTCTGGTTAAATCACATTGTCTCTTTGACTCTCAGTCTTCTTCCCCCATATCCCCTCCTTTCCTGGGGGTTCTGTAAAATCAAATGAGCGTGGAGGTGCAGGTACTTCATACCAAGCAGGAAGTCCTGTGTGCATAGAATGGGGGTTGTCATTGACCATGGGGGTTATTACTAGAAAGGTATCATTGTGAGTCAGGTAGAAGGAGGTCCAGCAAAAACAGGAAGTGACTTCACCAGGGAAGTCATGGACTGTCCTGGCCCTGTGGTTGAAGCAGGAGACATGGCCCTCACTTGGCCCTGGCCCTCCCCAAATGTGCCCTGCCCAGTGGCGATACCTGCAAGTCAACTTTCTGTGAGGAGACCTCCAGGATGGACTGGGTGGTGAGACACTGCAGCTTAGCTTTCCGTAGTGGGTTACTCTTGGCAGCCATTGTGGGGTCACTGGCTGTGGTGGTCCTTGGGGGAAGCTTGTGGTTGGTGATCTGATTGGTGCTGTATGCCCGTCGCCGCTGGGAGGATTCCAGACCTGGATAGCAATGGTGACAGTGAAGAAGGAGAAGTGGATCACAGTGGCAAAGGAGAAAAAGACTTGCATGCCCCTTTCTCTGTTTGGAAACTTCCAGAATTTCCCACTACTTGCCTACTAGCATATGTGCAGGGCCTTCATCTTACAAGACATTCAGAACCCTGCCAAATCTGGCTCTGTTTTATCTTCCCAAGGACTTTTCTTTCTGTTCTCTTTCTACGGTGCTTACTACATGCTCCACACATTCTGGAGGGACTGACAATGGTGTATGTGCCTTCAAGGCGTCACACCTCTAGCTCTTTGCTCAGGCAGTTTCTGTTGCCTGCAATCTCCTTTCCCTTCCCCACTTCCAAGAGCTGATGCCTCCATGAAGCCTGCAGATCTCTACTTGGGATCTTTCACCTGGGATTCCTACAATTTGTCAAATATCCCCATGGCCCCTGTTATTCTGCTTTCCACCTGAGTTAGGACTAGAAGGAGAGCAGATGGAGGACAGGTGCCAGGCTTGAGTGCTCTTTGCCTCTGATATTATGTATAGTGCTTAGCCTTACTGGGTGATTAGTATTGCAGGCCCGGCAACTGTGTCTCACAACTGTAAATACAGAATCCACACTAATACCAGAATGAGACTTAGGAGCAGAGAAGCCTAGAATCTTTTATCGGTATCCTACCTCTTTCATGAGCTTAGACAAATTGCTTAAATTCGCCACATCTCAGTTTTCTTATTTGTAAAATAGGCTTAATAGTAGACACCTCTGTGATTGTTAGGAATTCAGTGGGAAAAATATTTTTGGATAAAATGCTTCATGCATAGTACGTGTTCAATAAACTGGCAATTAGGGTCTTGTTGGAGAAGGAATGGGGCATAAATAGCAGCAGACTAACTGTGATGTGAGGTGGAGTCTCCGCTGGGTGGCCTGGCATCCTTGGCATGCTTCAGGGTTACAGGTGTCACCAAACTCCTGGCACAGTCTCCACTGTCTGGACTGGGTCCTTCATCTTGTGAATGGTAGAACACAGAACCGCTGGAGTCTTGAGGGCGCAGTGTGCCCTGTCGTCGCTTCTTGCCCTGGAGGGAAAGAAGAAGAAATAGGGAAGGAGATGTCAGGAAGGGCATCTGTGGAACAGGCTATCTGTGAAGGACCAGAACCAGGGAACACCTTTTACTCACTCCGGGAATATAGACAGATTCCTGTTGAGGAGATGGTTAATAGAATTCTCACATCACTCGCATTATTTATATTTTAATTTGTCTCCTTTTTATTAAAAAAAAAAAGGCTGGAGCGGTAGCACAGAGGTAGGGCGTTCGCCTTACAAGCAGCCAACATGGCCAACCCAAGTTCGATTCCTCCGCCCCTCTCAGAGAGCCCGGCAAGCTACCGAGAGTATTCGATATACCAAACACAGTAACAACAAAATCTCCAATGGAGATGTTACTGGGCCTGCTCGAGCAAATCGACGATCAACGGGAGGGCCTTTACCTTTACCTTACCTTTACCTTTATTAAAAAATTTAAAATATAATATGATTTTAAATGTTATTTCCAAATAGGTAACCAAGATTAACAAAATGAACCGCTGGCGGTCTTCCATCCCATTTTTATGATATAAACACACATATCATACATATAGTGTCTTTAGGGTGATAATTTTTTTTGATGAAGGTCACATCCCACTATACTCAGGGCTTAATCCTGACTTGGTGGTCAGGGATCATTCCTAGGGGCTCAGGGGAGTATATAAGGTGCTGGGGATCAAACCTGGGTCATCTATATGCAAGACAAATGTCCTAACCCCTGTACTATCTCTCCAGCCCCTGGAGGTGGTAATTTCTGTTTCACAAAAGCTGGAACACATTACTTACATTGATCACATCTTGGATTTTTCACTTAAAACAGTTTGGAAATTCTGAAAACCAACTATCCCCTTTGAAATTTAACAGCACAATATTCTACCACCTAATATTGTCAAGTGTTGACTTTATGGTTATTAATTTTTCCACCATAAAAATGCTACACTAAGCTCTTGGATATAAACTTATCGCATCTCCTTTATTAATATGTGCTGTACCTCTCCAAGGAACATCTGTGTTGAAAAGTTTGGCATTTTAAATTTTATTAGTTATTTCTTGATTGCTTTCCAGGAGGACTGCAGCAAGTCATGTTTTTGTGCACATTATAGAAAAGGACCCTTCCCCCAACAGCTCTAAGATTGGCAAGAGAAAACTTTTCCAGTGTCATGTAGTGGGCAAGAAAGGAGAATCGGGAGGCCGGAGAAATAGTACAGTGAGTAGGGCGTTTGCTTTGCATTCAGCTGACCAGGGTTTGAGCCCTGGCATCCCTTATGGTCCTCTAATCACTTCCAGGAGTAATTTCTGAGTGTAGATACAGGAGTAAGTCCTGAGCATCGCTGGATCCAAAGAAAAAAGAAAGGAGAACGGCCTTAAGGACTCTTGGTTTCATGCTAGCAGTAAGGTCTGTTGATGGTGTCCTGACTTCAAGATCTCTAAGAAGGGCTGACACTGTGCAAAGACTTAATCAGCGTTTTGTTTATTATTCCTTCCCCACAGTGGAATACTCTGTTCTCTATAGCACATTTGTTATTATTATAACTGTGTTCTTAAGAGATTTCATAACATGAAAAAAATAGAAATTTTACATAAAATTCAAACTTCTCTTGAAATAGTGGAAACACATTTAAATTAGGGCTCACATTCTGGGATAACAACAGTTTTTTTATTTAGTTTTATTTTTGGGCCACACCCAATGGTGCTGAAGTTTTACTCCTGGCTCTGAACTCAAGGATCATTCCTGGCAGAGGTTGGGTGACCATAAGGGGTGTCAGGGATCATACCCAGGTAGGCAGAGTACAAGGCAGCACTACATCCACTGTGCTATCTCTTTGGCCCACAATAGTCTTTTTAGACTTGAGCAAAAGCTGTATAATTTAGAGAGGACACAATCTATCTCATTTTCCACATTCTCTTCCACTCCCCCCACCTTTCTAAGTATGAACTTGTTATTAACCACTATCCCTAAGTATGAACTTGTTATTAACCACTATCTCTTTGCCCCTTTCCTTTCACAAGTCCATGTCCTTTATCTTCTACCTGTGTGATCATTCCAGATTCTTATTGAATTTGTGACTCTTGCTTAACAGCAGCAGCAGCAGCAACAACAATAGCAACAAGAAAAAGACAAGAAATTCTTCAAGGAGAGGAGGAATACTCACTAAGGAGGGACTATGTATGAGTGAGAAAACAGCTTCTCAGGCAATCTCCCATATTTTAGCATGAAATTTTCCTCCTTCAGTCCTCACTTGGGTTCCATTTCTGTTACCATACGCAAGAGCATTATAAATAAAGAAAAGATCAACTCATCAAAGGAGAATGAATTTGAATAGTTTTCTTGGAAAGAAACTTGAGAGTGGTTGTGATGAGTGGAAGTGTTCCCAAAAACCACCTGTGTGTGGGGTGTAGCACAGAGATAATTTCATGGGCCAGAGCTTGTGCTCTGCATGCCAGAAGCTCAGAAGCACCACATGATATCCCAAGCACTACTGGGAATGATCCCCACTCCAAACCTAAGTACTGAGCAATGTCAAGTGTGGCCCAAACAAACACAAAACAAAATGACTTTGGAGAGGTCATGTAAAATGCAGGCTCCCGAGTTTTAGTCTAGAGGTTTCTTAATGGAGTCAACCTGAATTGGAAATAAGGCACTCTTTTTATTTAATTAATTAAGTAAATGAACCAGTGTGATATGCAGTTAAAGACATACAAACTTTTGTGATTACGTTTCAGTCATACAATGTTTGAGTACTTATCTCTCCACCAGTGCCCATTCTCCACCATCAATGTTCCCAGTATCCCTCCCGCTACTCCTCATCTCTCCCCTCTGTGGCAGGTACATTTCCTTTTATTTTATCTCTTATTTTGGGTGTTATGGTTTGAATACAGGTACTAAGTGGAAAGACTCTCTTTTAAAAATGTTCCTCCTCCACCCCCACCCCCAAGTTCTTCTGATCTTTGAGAAGAATAACATGAGCTGGTAGCATCCAGCTTAAATAGCGTCAGTGTGACCAAATGTCCATGGCCTGCATCTGTTCCCTACCACTGTAAAGCTAGATCCAGCTCATTCATAACTGGCATGACTGGTCTTTCCAGATAAAGATAGCCTTGTGTACATGGTTGTACTCCCCACCCATTGATACCACTAGTTATTTCCAAGATACTTACAGAATTGGAATTGGAGAAGTATAAGGAGGCATCACATACAATGCCATACCCCACGAGCCGTTCTCCAGGGAAGAGAGAGCTGGTGCTGGTAGGTGAGATCAGGACCTCCGTGGTCTCAGGGAAGCTCCACTCCACAGTCACATCACTCAGGACAGGGGACATGGCCTTCTTCAGAGACTTGATCATCTATTGGAGAGGGTCAGGACACATGGCAGGTATGTGAGTGAGGGCAGGTGTAAGAAGCACAAACACCATGGGTATGAGCACAAAAGGATGTGAGTGAGAAAACGGAACTGTAAAGGTTTGGGGTTGACTTTTCTAGAAGTGCATGATTTTCTTTGATTCTTAGAATGTCAGAGTTGGATCCTGTGCTCCAAGTTTAATGTTATAAAGAAGAAAAATCCAAGACTCAAATTAGGATTACGGCTAACCAAGGGGGTACAGAAAGTCTCCGGCCAAACATGGACACAGTGTTAGTGCGAGTGATCACAGTGATCTTGCAAGTTAATTTGCCTTCCCATATCTCCTCAACTTGATATAGTTGGGGAGGGGGTGGTATTCTGAAATATTAGATATGAGATGTTTGCTGCAGATAGGTATTCCATAGATGGCAGCTGTGGTATAAATCTCCTAGGCTGATTTCTTCCGATGAAATGCAAAGCAGGAGAAAACAATTTAGGAATGTGGCAGTCATAGATGTACATCGGAACCATCCTTTAAGAAAGGATGCTCCAACTTTTGAACCATGATCACAGCTCTTTCTGGAAGCCCCAGACGATGACTGCGCTCAGCTGGCATGCAGGTGGCTCAGTGCAACACAATCTACCTGCTGGGAAATCTTTGCTCCAGAACTCCCCATTGGTAGAAACCTGCCGGACAGGCATTACTGTCCGAGGTTCTCCCTGCCTCACACTGACTCTTTCCTTCTCAGGTGTTGTGCCTGCATCTCAATGGAAGCCTTTGTCTTCCTTATTTCTTCACTTTTCTTTTTCATACATGTTAACCACCTAGTAATTTTCCTAGGTTCAAAACTCAATCTTTCTCTCTGGTTCCTGGATTGACAATAGAACTTTCTAGGGGTTAGATCATTTATTATTTTAAACTGATGCTGGATCATTTGTTATTATTAATTATATTATAATTGCTATAATTATTAATTGCTGTTGTTTGGTTTGCACTGTGGGCTTTTAATTGTTTTTTTTCTTTGAGGGGACCACTCCCTATGATTCTCGGGGACTATTTCTGTCTGTGAACTCAGGAGTGACTCCTGGGGGTGCTGGGAGACCCTCTGCAGTGTCATGGTTGGCTGCCTGCAAGGCAAGTGCTTCACTTCCTGTATCATCTCCATCCAGGTTGGATTATTTGTACCATTTGTGCAGAGAGTAAAGAGAAAACTATAACCTGTCTTCCGGGCTCTTCAGATTTCCTCTGAGACACCATTTGTCATCGTCAGTAACATGACCAGGACATGACCAGAAATGATCACGAACCCAATGTAGAGGGAGTGACACTCTACAGAGAATGACACCTGTGGAAGGTCCTTTACTGCTGTCAGTAGATGGAGCACGTGATCCTGTACCAGGAGACTAGGCGTTGATTTTTCTATGCCCCTGCCTCCACCGTCTTGATTCTCACTGAGATGCAGTATGACCTAGTAGAGAGCTTAGACGTGGGGTGATAGCCAAGCTCCACCCAGGAGCTGCTGTCCAACTGGTCTGGGCCTCTGAGTTTTTAGCACCTGAAGGGACTGTAGTTCTGCCTACCTTGGGTTGCAACCGCTCCCCCTCCTGCAGGAACTCAGCACTGCCCTTGGACACAGTTGCCAGCCCTGTCACCAGTCTGTGGCACACGTTGGGGCCAATCCCAAAGCTATAGCACCTGGAAGGGGAGAAGAGAGGTTGCCATCTTTGTCTCCAAATGGGAAAGGGACTGAGCACAATCCCAGCTCAGAGTCAACCCTAGATTCAGGCTCAGGGTTGAGGAGAGGAGCAACTCATCCACCAGTGCTCACTTCCACACAGTCCACCACCGGAAACTCCCACACAGTTCAAAGATAGAGCAGCAGGAGGAGCTCCATGGCCAAGGCTGCTCTGGGGGAGCTGTAGGCAGAGATGTGGGTGTCAAATCCCGTGGACAATGAAGTCCGACACTCTACTCTGGAAGCAAAGCTCACTAGGGTCTTTTCCTCTCCTCTGGTATTTCCCCAGCTCTGACATCCCAAGCTCAAGGAGGGCCCAAGATCACCAAGCCCCAGGCCTTCAGCCCGTGCTGACCTGGTGGAGAAAGCATGGTTTCGTAGCAGCTCCAGCACCTTCCCGGTGTTGTTGACGGTGCTGTCTGTGATCAGGAAGAGGAGTCTCGGGTGGCCTCGGTGCATGGGTTGCCGGATGACCCACTTGAGGGGGGAGAGGATGTTGGTGCCCCCCATGTCCGCCTGCATTTTTTGGATATTATCACAGGCCATGGCCAAGCTCTCCTGCAGGGAGGGTTCTGGTCAGAGGGTCTAGTCTATAGAGATTCCAGGTTCCCAGGAAGTGAATTCTTTATTCCACCTGATCTTACTGGAGCTCTCTCATGTTCCCAATTCCATCTCTTCCCATGCACAGAAAGAACAGGTGGCTATTTTCTTAGTGTTATTGTTCAGTAACGCCCCCCAACCCCCCCAATGCCACCATGAATGCCAAATGTACTCGTGGATTCCTCTTCAACAATATAAACACTCCTAAGCATATAAAGCCCCCCAAACTCAGCATAAATGGGGCTTCCTTCTATGATTATAGAAGCTGGTGATGTGGTAGAAAGAACACTTAGAAATAATTTTTGGTTTTGAGGCCACACTCCGTGGTACTCAGTGTGGTACTCAGTGGTACTCAGAACTTTCTCCAGGTTATGTGTTCAGGGATCACTCCTCAAGGTACCAGGGTTAAACTTGAGTCAGTCACCTCAAGACAAGTGCCTAATGGGCTGTATAACCTCTCTGGTCCCAGAGTTGGAAATCTTTAGACCTGAGAATCCTGGACTGACTGTGTTGCTACATCCTGATGGTGCTTGGAGAAAATCAATTCCTTAGCCCAGGCTTCAGATCCCCTCCCTCCCGGGCCAATGCTGAGAGACCCAGCTGGCCAAGGATTCCTGGCACTAGGCTAATGTCACTGCAGCAAGGACAATTTCTCAACAGACCTTAGATGTCCTTCTGCTCCTGACTCAGGAAGATTCTCTTCCAAGGCTATGCTTGGAGAAATGGCATATATCAAAAGTCTTCAAATGTCCAGTCACTTCTTGAGCCAAAAAACTAGAAATTTATCCCAAGGGGATCAACAGGATACATGTGGAACCTTTGCTATAAAGATGATGAAATAGAAAAAAAATGGAAATGGAAATGGCCAATTCTAGGGGTTCCATTAATAAGTCACTATCAAAGTAAAATACTAGACAGGTATTAAAATTTTGGCACAGATTAATACTAGCATAAAGATATGCTCATATTGGACTATTGTATTAGAAAAGTAGGTTCCAGATCAGTATTGAAGGTCTAATCCTATCTTTATTGAAAATGTGTGTGAACTCATAGGAAAGTTTGAGAGAGGCTTGTTTAATTTATTGAATTTTGAGGGGGCCCACTTGGCTATGTTCAGGGCTTACTCCTGGCTCTGTGTTCAGGGATCACTCCTTGGTGTCACTGAGGGGACCATATGGAGGTCTGGGGATCGAACCCAGGTTAGATGCATGCAGTAGAGTGTCTTACCCTATACTGTATGTCCAGACCCCAAAAGGGGTTTACATACAAATTATCACCAGTATTTTTCTTCTGAACCTAACCATGGTGACATAATCATTAAAAATTCGTTTTGCTTACATAGATTTAAAAATTATGGAACTATCAGCACATTTTATTATTGTGTTTGAAAAATCCATAAGGCTATTTTAAATCAGGAGAGGCCCCCTTTTATCATTGCCTTGTTCCTTTCCTTCCTTCTTTCTCTCTATACTTCCCTCCTTCCCTTCTTCCCTTCCTTTCTTTTTTCCTGTCCTAGAAGTTGGCAGAATGCTCCAATGCCCCAATGGTGAACTTGCTGCTGGGACCCACAGTCTTCTGGTTCCACATTGTAACCCGAGCCTTGAGAGTTCCATTTCTAGCCCACACCCATACCTACATGCCCATTTTTTGCTCTACTGCTCTCCACCATTTTCTCCACTGCTCTCCTTCACTTCAGCCTTGTCTCCTCTTAGGCCAGAGGGTCTCAGTGAGTGTTAGGTCTGGCTCTATCGTCCCTCTTCCCCCTCACTAAGTACACCCGTACTTTGCCCAACACCTTCTTTATTTTAGAAGCAGGTGCCTGAAAATAGTCACAAAAATGTTCCCTCTTCAATTCTCTGCCCCTGGGCATCATTTCTATTCTTGAATGTGGACAGTTTCTGAGAAGGCTCCTCACCACCCACCCCATTCCTGGTCCCATCCTTGCCCCTCCCTTACCTCATTGTAGGCATAACTGGAAGGGAACAGGGTCTTGAATGTGGATCCAAATCCAATGACATTGAAGAAGCAGGTTGGCATGAGACTTTTAAGAGCTACCACCATAGTTTCCTGACAGACAAAAAAGGGTGGTTCAAGATTCAGAAAAAAATTATTACCTCTCTGCCACCACACGTGGTGTTCTTATCCCAATGCGGGAGCAGCGCCAAAGAGGCTGGCCCACCTCCTGCCTGCACCCAACACCCACCGATGAAGAAATGTGCTGACACTGATCAGGGCCTGGGTCCAAGATATGGTCATAAAACTTCTTGCCCACAGAGCAGGGCTGACTTCTCAAAGCGTATCTTTGAGTTCAGTTCAGTTCTTTCCCACTCCTGCTGACCTGGGGAGGTTGGGAGCACAGGGTGTTCACCCTTCTGGTATAATATATCTATGGCTTCTGATTTTCAGTGCATCTTGCCATTACTTACATGGGTTATGGGCATCACTACCCACAGGAATGGTCTCTTGGGCTCAGATTTTTTGAATGCTCAGGGTGTGCTGTCATGCACCCCCTCAAAGAATCTTCACAACAAGCCTTAGAGGCCAGCACAGTATAACCCCCATGTTACATAGAAGAACGTAAGGATCCTGGGAGTTGAGCACAGCTTGTGGTGGTGAGCACTGATGCAATAAATGGGGAGTCAGGGTGCCAACATCCTTGTGCTGGCACTAAAATTTGTGAATACCGAATTGTCAACCTTGGGGCCAGAGATATAATACTGTAGGGCAGGGCACTTGCCTTGCATGCAGCTGACCATGGTTCTATTCCTGTTACTTGAAATGGTTCCCTGAGCATCATCAGGAATGATTCCTGAACAGAACCAGGATTAAGCCTACACTGCTGATATGGCTCCCCAAACAACAACAGCAAAAACCAGTGCACAAACAAAAGGAAACATTTGAATACATCGATGCTGGCATTACAATTTGTGTTAATTAAACCACATTCAAGTGTGAGCCAGTGTCAAAGCGTTAAGCCATGAGAGTGAGAGAAGGTAGAGGAAAGCACAGGATGTTAAATGGGGCCTTTTAGCTCGATGATGCTGAGACAATGAAACAATAAATACCAAACCATTACTATGTGCTGGGCAGTCCTCAGCATTTGCTGTTAGCGATCTCATTTAATCTCGACAGCTTCCTGGCTAAGAAGATTTAGAAGATGAACATACCTGGGCCAAAATCACAACTTCACAAAGACTCACTTGACCTTGGACTGATTATGTTACTCCTTCAAACACAGAGTGAATAGTCTATAAATAGCTATTACTACCAACCCAGTGAAATAGTAATACCTGTTAATAGTCATACCGCTGTTCTACAGATGGGAAATGGGCTCAGAAGGTTAAGGAGTTGTGCTGAATCACAAAATCGAACTAGGACTGGACTTCTAAAACCCAAGTCAGAGACATTTGTTCCTGTTAGCTTTGCCTTGGCACAGAGTTCAGGAATGAGGGTCACTGTCAGTCTCAGTTATTGATGGCATGCACCCTGAGAGTCTCAGTATGGCTTCATGGAAATAAATGTTACACCCCAAGAAGAAGAGCTGCAGGTGAACCCCAGCAGCTCTTATGCCACATGCTGGAGTTTCACATCAGCCTCTATGGACAAGCTGTCCCTCACCTGCCTGCTGCTCTACCCGGAAACTTCAGCATTAAACATAGCCATGAGCACACTCTCATTTCTCTTTTGTTGCTCATGTCAGTACATTTTGTTTCTCTACAAAAGAAGTCAATCTCTACTTATTTTCCATTAGCCACCAATGTACGTACCTCCCAGCTAGCAGGAGACTGCTGATCCATGCAGATAGTGTCTGCTTCTACCTATTAGAATTTTTAATGTCCTCATTTTGGCAGCAAGTAGTGGCTGAAGAATGAGAGCAGCTGCAGGAAACGAATTGGCTGAACTTTCCCCTTTGGCATGACTGTTTGGATTTCTAGTCTCTCCTACTTGCCTCCGCCTAGTCTTTCCTAAGACTTCAACCTAATGGACCACAATTAATGACCTAAGAAATTCCCCCATGGCCTCATTGTCATTCGGAAAGGAGCATGTGGCCAGAATAATTTCTGTTTCTTTCTTTAAAAGCAGCTTGCTTAGCAGAATGGCTGGTGCCAAGAGAAGTCATTTGTGAAGGGGTGACCGTGAGCTCAATGAGCTGAATTGGAAAAGGGAGCATGAGCAAATCTAAAGGGAAAGGGAGTAGGCACACTTAGAGGAAGTTATTGTCAGAGAATTCTGGAATGTAGAGGCTAGAAAGGTCTCACATTCAGGCATGACTTGAAAGTCAACTTTGGTGATTTGAAGTGGACACTGTAGGATCCTGGATCACAATTAATCTCAGAACACTGAGATTGCTCAGCCTAGATTGATTACTCTATATATACGCAGCAGAGATTGCTTGATCAGAGAGATTTTATTCAGGGAAGTGTATAATAATCCTGAACACCGAGATTAGAAGGATATCGAGACTGAACCCAGCCTGGGCTTAGGGGTGGTGAACCGAGGAGACTGTGACACAGTTTCAGCTTCTCTCTGAATTAATCCTCCCTTCTCACTTTACAGGAACAATAAATGAAGCCTAGAGTTGAGAATCACCTTATTCCAACTCACAGTAAGCTCGAAGCTGAGTTGGTCCTAGAACCCAGGCACCTGGAACCTCTCTTTCTACTCCGCCATGCAGCATCAATGACTTCATCAGAGAGATTTCATTCAGGAAAGTGCATAATAATCCTATATGATAATGTAAGGAAAATAAGCACCAAGTGAAGATAAGGAAGGCTCCAATTCTTTCTCTGGCCTTGTGATACTGGGAAAAACACATGACTTCTATTTCTGTACTGGAAAGGTTGTGAGAGAATATATATTCAGTGCTCTCAAGATACACTTTAGGTTTATGATTCCATAATTCTTTAGAGTGACCCAAGCAATGCCGTACACGTTGGCTTGACTTGGTAATGGAATACACTTGGCCATGCCTTATGGTCCATGAAGTATGCTTCAGTACTTTAGCGTGCGGACAGCTCCTCCAATTCTTACTTTAGGGAGTAGGCAATGTCGCCACCAGTCCTGTAACCCAAAGTCAAGAGAGACCTCCTGTGGGGGGTCTTCCTTGGATATATATATATATATATATATATATATATATATATATTCAGTGCTCTCAAGATACACTTTAGGTTTATGATTCCATAATTCTTTAGAGTGACCCAAGCAATATATATATATATATATAATTGCTGTCACGCTTCAAGACAAAACCCTATCATATCAAGCTTGAGAGAGAGCAGGCCTCTGAGAGGCCACCAAACTGCTCCCTTCCTTGATAATCCTGTTGCCCTGGAAACAAGAATTTGCTTCAGAGACCAGCTAGGAAGAGGGATGAAATTCCATGCGACAGCAGAGCTCTCTCTTTTCTTGTTCCCTTGTGCCTATTTTTCTGAGATGGTGTCCTTTACCCAGTAGGACCAACAGTTACGGGTGGGGGTGGGTGTGACTTCTTACACACACACACAGAGCTAGGCCCCCTGCAGAGAGACAGATGAGGAAGATCCGGTCCTTTGCCTTAATGAGTTCATAGCTTCAGAAGAGACAGACAGCGGCATAACTAAAAATACAAGGTTTGATAATGCTGTAATGGAGAATAATCTCCTGAGGAAGATGAAACACATGGAGTGGGGATGGGCAAGACTTGGTTTCTCTCTCTCTCTTTCTCTCTCTCTCTTCCCCTCTCTCTCTCTTCCCCTCTCTCTCTCTTTCCCTCTCTCTCACACACTCTCTCTCTTTCCTGCTCCCCTTCAGCAGCCTCTACAGCCCTGCGGCCACTATCTTTGGGTTGAGGCCTACTTTGTGAGCGCACCTCTCCCTCGTCACCTGCATCTCAGCTCTCTGAGGGCAGAGGTGGTGTTATAACCTGCTATCTTTCCATAGCCAAGAAAGCACATAGCCCATGTGAGAATATTTGAGGAAGAGAGGAATCAAATCTTTCCTACTGCATCAAGAACTTTACTAGAAATTTCTTTATGGCAGGTGCTGAGTCTAAGGAACTTCTGACGCCAGCTGGCACAAACAGAGATGAAAGTTTAACTAGAGGGTACACTAGTTTAAGATACTGGTAGACTCCCAGATCAGTTTTCTAACCTGAAACATAGAGGCAATTCCTGATGCCTTCCCAGTGCAACCCCCTAGTGATTGTCTGGATCAGACATTGTTTCAAGTTGTTAACCCAGGACTGGAAACAGCAATCCCTCAGCCCTGCCTGCTCCTTCCCTCTCTCTTCTGTACCCTTCTCCATTCAGCACCCAAGAAAGGGTTCCAGACCAAGAGAGCATTAAACAAAAGAGTAATGCAGGCCAAGGAAAGCTCTGGATTTTGCCTTCCCTTATAAACCGACAATTCTACCTTGCTCAGACATTTTTCCGGGTTTATTATTGTTTTTTTCCCCAATCTTTTTTTTTGATGCAAGTTCAGTGCGAAAGTGTCTAACTGAACTATTTTTGGGGGGAGACTTCCCAAGTGTTGCTTTGGAGGCCCTGAACCCTGTCAGTTATTATCGGCCAAACAAGCAGGTGATTCAGTGGGGGGGTCTGGGGATGAGGTGCTGCTCCAACCCCATCCCCATGCTGCCATGGGTGACCCAGTCACCCGGCATGCTGGGGTTTCCAGGGCTATACCTGGTGACACTGGGGAACCAGATGCTGCTGGGAATAGAACCTGGGTCAGCTGCATGTGAGACATGTACCCGAGACATATACCTCCTCCCTCACCTGATCAGACTACTTCAGTTATGATGTATGCACAGCTTTTCCTACTATGTGAATTAAAATCTTTTTAATCAGTAATTTTTCTATGTCAATTTAAAAATTTTTATTGGATCACAGTGAGATATAACAGTTGTTCATGATTAGGTTTCAATGTTCCAACACACATCCCTTCACCAGAGTACATTTCTCACCACCAATGTCCCTAGTCAAACTATTTTTTAAAAAAGTGATTTGTTGTTCCTCTTAGCCTGAGTGATTTAGGGAAGTTTCTGGAGTGAAGTGCTGAGGATCTTGGGTTTCGGGAGCCCCAGTGCAGTGGAAGCATGCACTGTCACATACCTTGACGTGGTTGATGCTGTTCCCACACATGCTGTTGCTCCGGTCAATGAGGAAGATGAATTCTCCATTAGTCTTCCGCAGCTTGGGCTCGGCTGACTGGAAGTCAGGGCAAAAGTTGAGCATAATGACAGAATGGTGCAGGATGTCCTTGTGCAGGCGTTTCCGGATGATCTCTCTCTGGGGGACAAAGGGAAACTCAAATGAACCTTCAGGGAATGCCCCAGGACACTCCTGAGCTGGTTCTGGGGGCTCCCGCTCTAGTACTCACGGAGGGTTCCAGATCCCACCCAGAGTCTGCAGGAAAACATCTCTGGGGTGACTGGACAAGTCAGCAGGTGAGAAAGCAGAACTGAGCTGGCACATAATCAGGAGACTGGGCAGTCACACCATCCTTCCACAGAACAGTGGGTCCCTTCTCGCACACCCAGTGAAAGAGCCATTTGGCTCATTGTGATTTTTGTGTCTTACTGCTGATCTTTCACAGTCTTAACTTCCCATTCACTACAAATTTTGCTTCGTTTAAACACTTTCCCCCACCTTCTTGACGGATTTGATTCATTTTTTCACCCATGCAATGAGGACAGGAAAACATGTTCTGTGAGTTGTGTGCATTCGTTGCAATACTTGTGAACCCACTGTGTGCCTGGCCATTGTTTCTCAGTGGTTGTCTTCTTACTGTGACTGGGGTGTGATTATTCATGCTGAGGCCAGGTTTTCCTCACAGGGGCTCATATCTATGACTCTCCCCGCTAGGTTGTCTCTGACTTGAGGGATGGCAATGGCTGAGTCTCTTTGGCATCTCTAAGGTTTCTCATAGAGTTTGGTGTAGATGAACTGAATAACATTGAAGGAAGGCCATCACTTAGTTCCTTAACATTTTTCATCTTCTGTTATTTGAGTAAGGATCAGTCTCAGAAGTGGTAGGGTGACTAGGGCCACTCCTAGTGATACTCAGGTGCTTGGGCTCAGTGGTATTCAGAGACACCAGAGCTACATCTGGTGGTACTGGTTGAGGGAGCACACAGGGCCAGGGTTCAAACTGAGGGTCTTGGATGTGAGGGTGATCTGCTGCAACATTGATCCTTCCATTGATGGTCAGGGTTGATGTAGTGAACCTGGTTCTTTAGGTGGTCTCCTTTCTCTCATCTACCTACCCCCAAACTGTGTTTCCCTTAAAGCTGCATGTTTGATACAAAACAATGTTCTTCCATAAATAGAGATTAACCAACCATTCTTTGGTCAAAGGAATGCAAATAATGTGTACCCTTTACCAAACTTCCCAACAAGCTCTCGGATTCGGGATCTTATGTTTTACCACTTGAGATACCCCCTGATACTATCCTAGATTTCTCTCAGGTCCCTGGTTCCTCTCCAAACAGATTTGGTTTGTTTACCTCTTGTCTGTCTCCCTGTGCTAGAGTATAAGCACCAGGAGACCCAGGAATGAGTCATTTTCAGTGCTGTCTGCCAAGTATCCAGAACAGGTCCTGAATCTATTGGGTATCCCGTGTTTGTTGAATGGATAGACAAGAATGAAGTGTGTGGTTCTTTTTGTTTGCCCCTGACCTGCATGGCTCCCCAATTCCACCTTTCTTGCTCTTGGGTCTCACTTCTCTCTGCATCTGCCTCTTGTACATAGTGTCTCCCTCTGTGTCATGGTTTTGGACAGCTTGTCCCACCTACTCTTCCTGATTGACGTCCGCCCTCTTCATGCCTGCCTCCTTCCCAGACTAGGGACGCATGCTTCCTCCCACGGGAACACCTGTGCCAAAAGTCACAGTGCTACACAGATGTCTGGGTGACAGAGACTGAGGAAGCAACAGCAGCATGAGGCACATCTGCCCATGAGCGGGACCACCTCTGAATTCTGGCCTCTCAGAGAGCTCAGGAATCTCTAACGTCTCCTTGAGCTGTTACTATCCAATTATCATAAACTCATCACTTCTTAGCAACCTCAGGCTGATTGCTGTCATCCAGGGGGCTCTAGAGAATACAGGACATTTGCATAGCCAACCCAAGGTGGCAAGTGCGTTGTCACTGACTTCAGTGGTCCCAGAGCTGATGGATGGGAGTCTACAAACAGGGGATTCAGGTATAACTTGGTACCCCTATTTACCATCCCCTGTCCATATGCCATTCCTTACTGCCAGACCTTACTGTCCCCTGACACTGCCACCCTGGCTCCAGACTTCTCTCTAGATGGACTAATTTAGATGAGGAGTTGGGGGTCCTCTGGGAGGACAGATGTTGGCAATGGTGTATCTAACCTGGGGATGACCTGATAGGCTGTTGCTGAGCCATCTTCCCATCCTTTGATGTCTCTGTCACCCCCACCCAGTGGGGACTCCCAGTGGGGTCTCTGGTAATGGTGACATGTATATTGTAAGCTGTGGACAGGTACCCAGACATCCTGGCCCACCCTGCTCTCAGCCCCTGGGCCATTCAGGTCACCTTGGAAAGAGGACCTTCACCATAACTCCAACTGCTCCATGTTAAACAATGAAGCTCATTGTTACCAAAGCCAAACCCCAAGATCACAGCCTTCCCTTTCTCCCAATTCACCAGTGCAGTTAGGATGAGACACCTCAGTTCTCTCAACTCTAAAAGGGGGACACTACAAAAATGTGTGCTATCATTTCCTTTTCTGTGGGTGACTCAAACAGTGCTGGGGGATGAGGGGTGGGAGCTCAGAAGCCATCCTGCTGGCACTCAGCTGCTGGGCCAAAAGGATTTCTCGGGTCAGCAGGAGCTCCCAGGGGCACCCTGGTGCTAAGATATTGGGGTCAGACCCGGAACCTTGCACATACAAGGCATGACCTCTGACCTCTGAGCCGCCTCCCCAGTCCAGAGCCCATCTTTTCAAATCTCTCTGGCATTTTGTTACTGCCTGGGTGCCCAAACTCTGAGCTGGAGAGAGGTGGTCAGGACAGTGTGTGGCTGGTGGCTCAGCCCTTGCTCTTTTCTTTCCCAATCCCCTCTGCTGAGCTTCTCGGGGGAGGTGGAAACAGAGCAAGGACCCAAGGGGAAAAAAGTGACAGAGGAAAAGGGAGTTCAGGGAGGGCAAGAAGAGCAGGGGCGGTGCCTGGTTGCAATTTCCTGGCTGGCCTTGCAGATGGAGCTGCTTAGAGGAGGCCGGGGCAGGGTCCGTGTGTGAAGGATCCCCCTAGGCAAGTCACTCCCCCACTTCCACCTCAACGCCCAGCTTCCCCCCACCGCCCCACTGTGCCTGTTTGGCTTCACCTTGTGCTCTGCACGGTTGTCCTTCCTCATGCCCTTGATGAAGTCTGCTCTGCCCTGCAGGTGCTGCTCGAACTCTCCAGGGCTCATGTCTCCCTTCTCCACCAGCACGTGGGGCACGTGGGGCTCTATGGAGGAGACACCAGTCCTTGACACCTGGTCCAAGATGAGGGTAGTGCCAGGTATGGGGGTTAGGAGCAGGATCTGCACTGGGGAAGGGGGCACTTCCTGTTAGAAGAGGGGGTGAAGCCTGTGGTTGCCTGCAGCAGTGGGGGTGGTAAGAGACTCCTTAGCTAAGAGGCAGGAATGTCCAAGGGCCTGGTGCCCTCACAGTCCCTTGAAGAGCCTCTGCCTATCTGTAAAACGGGAATGGGATGGGGCCTAATTCTTTCAGGACTTCACTTTTGCTGACTTCTTTTTGGGGAAGTGGAGAGAGGAGGGAGGCACATTGGCAATCCTCAGGGCTTACTCCTTGCTCTGTGCTCAGGGGGTCACCAATGGCAGCACTCAGGGGACCATATGTGGGGACAAGGATCAAACCAGGGTCTGCTGCATGCAAGGGCAATCTCCAATTCCGTCTTGCTGTCCTGTCTCTCTGACCTTTCTCTGACTCCTTAAAGAGATGAAAGTGTTGATCCCTGAGGGTTCAGAGCTGCAGGTCCTTGCTGTGCTCAGGGCTTCAAAGCTTCCTGGGATTTCTGCTCAGCTTGCCTGGAGGCACAGTGCCGTGAAAATGGGATAAGACCCCAGTTCCCCTAGAGCTGAAATTAGGACAGAAGATGTTCCCTTCTTCTAGCCAGAGGAGAGTGAACTAGGGAGCAAGTTGGTCTCTTCAGTGCCATTATTTCTGCCTACCAGTTGGGGGACCCAGGGTGGCCTCCTCCCTCCCCCAGTCTCTGTACCACTCGGGTGGATGTGGATCTCCACTGGCCGGTCAAAGGTGTGCTTGCTGGCCAACGTGACGATGATGCTCTTGGCCGAACTCGCAGAGGGGGCAGCATCTGCCCGGATCTCATGGGTGGGACTCTCTACTCCTGGGGGCACAGAGAGACAGAGTACTCTTAGAAACCCCAAGAGAGTGAGGGGTTCATCAGATACATTAATACCCAGGTCAGAGATGATTGCTACTCGAGTCTCATGGGGGTTCCTGACCTGTGGCACCCTCACCAGGACACCTCAGTTTTCCCATTTGCAAAATGGGGGCTCAGATAGATGAAGAATGACCCAGAATCAAGTAGAGGGGAGCAAAGATTTGTTTCCTCCTAGAGTTCAGAGCTCCCCTGTGGGTGAGCACCCCTGCATCCTTCTTGCTGCTGTGCTATTCTGGTCCCCCAGATCGGAGACCCATGGACAAGAAGATCGAGGTCCAGTGTGCCTGGAGGAGAAGACCATCAGGACACCAGTTCTTAGTAAGGATGCTCATTCGTGGCCCTTGGGAGCTCTGACCATCTAACTAGTGCCTCGGACTGGACCAATTCCTTGAGCTGCTGGGGGAAATAAGGGGCACTGGGGATCAGTGTCTGCAGGATAGCTCCAGTTCCCAGGGATTCTGAGAGGCAGGGTGAGAATGGGGAGCAGCCTGATGGTGGTGAACTCTAGGAGAGACCCCAGCACCACCAATTAAACCATGGAAAGGGAGGATGAGGACAACCCAGAAGCTGTCCTTGGGAGGGGACTCATCTGGGGGTTGCATGTCAGAAACATAAGAAATGGGGGTGCCTGAATGTCTCTGTGCCTCGGCTTCTCTTCCACTTGAAACCAGCAGCCTTCCTGCCCTCTCTCCCCCTTCATCCCTGGAGACTTTAGGTCAGAAAGCCCCCACCACCACCCCCATCCCCTGCCACACTGCCTCCCCTGCAGCCTCATCTCAGTCTGCACAGCCCCCTCTCACCTGCAAGCAGGCACGGCCCCCGGATCTCCAGCTGGAAGCTGAACTCATATTCCATGGGGTTGGACACGCTAGTGTCCAGGAGCGCTGCCAGGCTCAGTCTGTTCCAGGAGTTCGGGGCCTGGGTACCGAAGCAATGCTTGTCTTTGCTGGGAAGGCAGCCAGGAGCAGGAGGAGGAGGAGGCAGGCAGCCAGGGCTGAAGGGGGTGGGGGGCAGGGTGAGAAGACATGGGAAGACAATGCATCCCAGGCAGCCCTGGCATCCCTCAGCCCCACCCAAAATGGGTCTGAGGTGCTTTCTGTATTACTCAGCCCTGACTCTCCCACTCTACCTGAGCCCGGGGACAGGCACAGCTATCAACATGAGGGACGGCCAGGGTTCCACTCCCACCCCCACACAGGGAAACTGAGTATCAGGAGTATCAGGGTGGTGAGGCAACTGGGAACTTGGTGGAGCTTGCACCCTTCTCCTAGTTGAGTGTGTCTGCATGGCCAGACAGTTCTCAGCACACCACACCACTTCTGCATCCTTGCTTGATTCCTGGGAGCCAGACAAGTCCTGCTCCTCAAAGATTTGGTTTACTTATCTGTGAAATGGGGAGAGTGAAGACCCAGTGCTTCACCAAGTGCCACTCACCAAACACTCAAGGTTCTGAGCTTCTTTCTGCGTCTTCCTCTTTCTGGCCTTAGATTTGCTCTAGGCCACCCCACCCCAGGCACTATGTTCTTATATACGTGTGTATCCTGGGTGTTTGGTTGTATGTGCTTTCATTGAAAAAGAGAAAGAGAGAGAAGAAAAGTGCCTACCATTGAGGCAGGCTGAGGGGGAGGGAGGCAGTGATGGGAGGGAACCTGGGGACACTGGTGCTGGGAAACGTTTGTACACTGGTGGAGGGATGGGTGTTGGAACATTGTATGACTGAAATCTAATTATGAACAGCTTTGTAAAGGTCTATCTCACAGTGACTTGATTAAAAATTCTTAAAAATAAAAATAAATTGAAAATAATGAAAAATTAAAGTCAAAAAAAGAAAAAGAGATTGTTTTGTATTATGAATTCCTTCAATTGCCTCTTTTCCCCCATTCAAGTGCTGAATATTTTCTTACTTAAAAACTTTTTTAAATAATTATTTTAAAAATAACCACACCTGGCAGTGATCAGGGTCCCAAAGCTGTTCCAGGCTGAGCTTAGCCCATGTGGCCTGTGAGGTTCCTGTGGTACTGCAGGACTCCTGGGGCCATACCTAGCAGTGACGGGGAGCTATGCAGTGCCGGGAAGCAAACTCAAGGCTTTGTATGTGCTCTGTCGCTTGGGCAATCTTCTGACCCTCAATGCTGATTTAATTCATTGATTTACTATGTATAACTTTTTTTTAGCTTCTTGGGCCATATCAGGGGACACTCCTGTTGGTGTTCATTTTTTGGCTGGGTGGGGGTCACACCTGGCAATGTTCAGCATTTACTCTTGGCTCTGTACTCAGGAATTACTTCTGGCATGCTTGGGGGACTCTATGGGATGCTGGGGGATCCAACCCAGGTCAGCATCATGTAAGTCAAATGCTCTATCCATTGTACTATCACTCTGGCTCACCTGTTGGTGTTCTGGGGGACTACATGTGGTGCCCGGGATTGAACTGGGGTCAGTCACATGCAAGGCAAGTGTCTTAACCCCTGTACTATCTCACTGCCTTCCAATGTTGTGGTTGAAACTCTGCCCACAGGGCTGTCTAGAAAAAGACTATTTGCTGATAACATGGCATTTCCTGGGACATTTGTGATATTGTTGTTGTTTTTGGGGTTTTTTTGTCTTTCTGGGCCCACCTGTGTCGCCACTATAAAGATTCTCGCCTATGTCCCCTTTGTACTTAGGAAAGAATTTCCCTGGGATCCCTGGGTCAAAGAGCATACACCAAGGACAGCCAAGTTGCCCTTTAGGGTGACTCCCTGGGTCTGTATTCCTAGCGATGAATAGGAGTTCCCCCACACACCTCCTCCCTCTGCTTCACTAACACTTGGTATTCTCCAGGTCGCTTGGAGACACACAGGGTTCCTAGGGATTTCCGGCTTCTCCTGAGAACTTCTCTGCCAACTCTGCTTGTTGGCATGGTCAGGAATAAGTGGATTAGAGCCACTATAGGGCCATCTTTGCCTCTTGATTCCTGGCCTACCAAGGTCTTTAATTGCCCCAGCCCTGCCACTGAAATGTGCCAAGACTAGTGCCAGGGCAGCACTTACAAAGACCAGTGGCTGGTACACCCTGGACTGGAAATGACAGACTCACTGCAGTTTCCAGGCTGCGTACACACATCTCTGCCCACTGAGCTCTCCCTGAGCCGTCAACCACTCACTCACTTCCTCCTTCCTCTTCCACCTGGCTGGCCTGGTACCTTTCACTTCTCATCATTCCCAGCACACTCTGAAGCAGGACTGAGCATTTCACGTTCCTCCTGCCCTCTGCCCAGAGTACTCTTCCTCCAGAAGCACTGCATTCAGGGAGACCTGCCTGACTCCTTTCTCTGCTGCTTAAAAGCAGCACCTACTCCACTCCTGCTGAGAGCACTTAACTGTATAGAACCCTACCCACCAGACTCCAGTTACAGCCCACCCCCACCCCCACCTCCAGTTTGGTGGTGTCCTGTGCCAGCATGTCCTCTGTCCCCAGCTTTCATTCCCTTGGGCACCAGCTCCCAGAGGCCCTGGGACCCCTTCAGGGCATGTATGAAATGCTGGATACGCGTGGCACATCATCCTGGATTCCAACTTGGCTTAAAGATGGGGGTGGTGGGGGGAGAGAGTTGGGGGGAGGTTAAGTACTTGAACTGGTAATGAAATTATAGTGTTATTTTTATATCAGATACCATGGACTCAATTATTTAGCGCTATTGCTTTTGAGTTTAACTCTTTTTATTCCAGCACCTGAAATCAATTTTTAAAATTTGCACGGATTAGACCAGAATATGGCTCGGTGGCAGAGCACTTTGCCTTGCATATGTGTGACCTTAGGTTCAATTCCCAGAAATGCCTCATCCCCTGAGCACTGCTGAGAGAAACCTCTCAATACCCAGTGGTGAACTGTTCCTGAGCACTGCTGGGTGAGGTCCCCAAAGCAAAATAAACAAACATCAAAAATGTAAACTCATTGAATATAATGCAACATTTAAACAGACATCTGCACTTAGCAGACTTTATCCCCTCTCCAGAGGAAATGCACCTCCTCTGTCACGGGGGTGGGAGTGGAGGCCCTATTTCAGGCATCCATACCCTAGACAGCCATCCAACCTTCTTTTGCCTTCTAGCCCACTGAAGTGCAGATGCATTGCCCTGCTACTGGCCTCAACAGGGTTCCTCTCCCTGGACCGTGGAAGCCCCACTTTAGTGCATCCTTGCTGTTTTTGGGAGAAATGCAAAGTGTCTCTGAAGCCTCATCCTGTGTTTCTGCAGCCTCATTGTGTGTCTCTGCAAACTCATCATGTGTCTCTGTGGTCTCATCATGTCTCTGAGGCCTCATCATGTGTCTCTGAGGCCTCATCGTATGTCTCCATGGTCTCATTATGTATCTCTGTGGTCTCATCATGTGTCTCTGTGGTCTCATCCATGTGTTACTGAAGCCTCATCATGTGTCTCCATGGCCTCATCACGTGTTCTCATCTCAGGTTGCCTGGACTTCACTCCCTCTCTGGGGCACATCCTGGCTCCCCAGAGCTTCTGTTTGAGCTCTTCTCAGCACAGGAGAGCACCTGAAGTGCTCATACTCCCCTCACAGTTTCACTTCTCAGAATAGCCTGACCAGGCCCTGAGGCTGGGCTGGGAGGGTGTGTGGGCAGCTGGCCTCTCTTACAAACTTTAAGTCCTGGGAACTTGCCCCTCGCGGCCCTGTCCACTTGAATCAGTGCCCAGATATAGACACTCCAAGTTGTGCGTTAGGTGTGCCGTGAAGGGAACAACGTGTGCCCTCTGACCCCAGTGCTCATGGGCACAGAGTCAGTACCCAGGAAATCCCTCTCATGTATGAAGGAGAAAACTTGGGGTGCTGACACTGAGATGTTGCCTGGCCATTCCCATCAGGGCCCCTCAAGCAGGCTGGTGAGTGCGCTCCATGTGATTGGGGGTGCATTACTCAGAGGGCGGCCAGGAGCCCTCGTCTATACCTCATCTTTCTTCCCTGTGAGCCCTGATCTCCGCTCCCACTCCCGCAGCCCCTGGGCAGGGCCACCTTACCCTTGAGTCTGTTGGTTGGTGGTGTCAGTGTCATTGGCACAGAGCGGGGGCACTGTGGGGGTGCAGACAGCGGGCAGCAGCACCTGCACGGCCCCATTGGGCAGCGTCGGGAGTTCCGAGGAGGTGCTGATGAAGACGGTGATGTTCTCCATGGGGTCGATGGTCCCCAGGTTGACCACAAACAGGATCCTCTCCAAATCCTCATCCAAAGGCACCTTGCCTGGTGGGCAGGACTGTGGGGTGCAGGGAGCACCTTTTTGTGGAAAGTTCCCTAAGAGTTGGGTCTGGAGTCAGGGACCATGGACTGGTCACCTCTAGTCCCCTGTAAGCTTGCACTGCCACCAGTGTGAGGAGCCCAGTTTGCAGATGGGAGAAAGGGCTCTCTCTGGAGGACTCAGTCTGAGCACTGCCTCAGCTACTCAGAAAACAACTCACTCACCAAACGCAGATCTGAACAGCCCGGGGGCTGCAGCCAGGTCAGTGGACTATCTCCCATCTGCCTTGAAAGTGGGGGACTTGCACCCCCAAATGCCTAGAGGGGTCATGTTTCCACTGCCAGATTCTACTCCCTGAGAACCTCAGTCAAGCATCTGCCCAGTTTTGTGATTCAGGTTGTCCTCCATGGTCTTTCCTTTAACTTTCCTTCTTTCTTTCTTTCTTTCTTTCTTTCTTTCTTTCTCTCTTTTTTTGTGGTGGAACTTGGACCTAGAGATGCCCAGGGACCTCAGTGGGGTCACATGGTACCGGGGATGGAACGCAGGGACTCACACATGCTAGGCATGTGTTCTAGCCCTTGAGTTCTGTCCCCAGCCCGTTGGGTCTTTACTTGGGTCTGAAAGCCCCCCTCCCTCCCCCTGCTTAGTCATTCTCACCCCTCAACCCTACCTTGGTTCCAGTCTGGACCCCTCTCACCCTCCTTTGACATCCATTATCCAGACCTTTCTCCATGGTTACTGGCAGGTCCTGACTATTCTTTCAGGGGGAAAATCCTAAAAAATGGTGGATGACTTTGTATCTGTACACAGGGAGCATATATTACTATTCTGGAACATCTTGCTCACTCTCCAAGCCCATGTTCTCTCCTCCCTGGACACGCATCTCTCTGGCTTGTCTCTGTTATTTTGTCTGCCAATTTCCACCCTGGAGAAGCCTCTGTTCTCTCCTGAACACATCCTTCTCTCTTTCTCTCCCCTCTATCTTTCTAAATAAGTTCAATAAAAGTTATCTTACTTTATCTCTTCCCCTTCACAAAAAAAGAAAAAAAAAGATTCTTAATGTGTTAATGAACAGGTGAACAAACTTCCTTGATCTTAGATCCAAACAGTGGGCTGGAATGATAGCACAGCGGTTAGGCCGTTTGCCTTGCAAGTGGCCAACATGTCCGGCCGGAGTTTGATTCCTCCGCCCCTCTTAGAGAGCTGGGCAAGCTACCGAGAGTATCTCACCTGTACGGCAAAGCCTGGCAAGCTACCCGTGACATATTCGATATGCCAAACACAGTAACAACAAGTCTCATAATGGAGATGTTACTGGGCCCGCTCCAGCAAATTGATGAACAATGGGAGGACAGTGCTACAGTTATCTAGGTGAACTGAGGACAAGTTAAGAGCCTTGCCCTAACTCTTATGTCTAAATGCTAGGTGGGGAGACATTCTTTGGCCCCCCTCATTGTGACAGTGACAGTGACAGATCCAAACAGTGTGAATCTCATCAGACACATGGTCTGATTCAAGACCCGGTCCTGCCCCTAACATGCTGTTTGGTCTTGGGCCAGTCACTCATCCACTCTGAGCCTCAGGCATCCACTGCTGATGGGAACAACTTCCTCTGTAGGGGAAGGCCCTGTAGAGGGGCCTGAGGCATGTGCTTGATTGGGTGAGTAGAACCTTAAGCTCCATCTTCAGAGATTATGTTAACTGTCTTATCTAACTCACATAACAGGGAAGCCACTGATCTGGGACTCATTCTGATCTGACTTATTCTGCCCCTTGTGAATTTCAGGATTCGGCAGAGAATAAGATTCTTTTTCTTTCTCTCCTTTTGTGCTCATCACATGTCAGAGGTGAAAACAGCAATTGCTCCCTCTAATCTGTAGACAGCAAGGTGAGGTTCAGAGAGGTTAAGAATTGGTTCCATATCACACGGGCATCCATATCTCAGGATCCCTGATACTTGGTCCAGGAATCTCTCTACCCTATTCCTATCCCGTCACCTGCCCTCTGTCTGCCCGAGGCCCTCCCACATCCCTCCTGGCTGCCCTACCTGTGACGGTGGCTCTTGTGTAGGGGGGATCCCGCTGGCTGCTCTCGAGCTTGGCTTTGTCCTTGATCTGCACTGTCACGATGCGGTCAGCAATGACTGCTTCAAAGCCGATCACCGTGGTGGACTCATCCAGGGGGTACACGAAGAGGCCTGCCAGAGCAAGACCCCACACTGTGAGACATCCCCACAGCCCTGCCCTGCATGCCTCAGCTTTGGACAGGGACCCAGACCTCCGTCTTACTGAATATATGGACGGTCCTCTCCACTGGGCAGTGGGGGCCTGCGAGGTCTCAGGTGGAAAGCCTGGGGCCGAGTGGGGGGTTGTGGTATCAGGAATTTTTGGAGCAGGGGACCTTTGGTAGGGGGCAGCTATCCCCTTTTCCACCCAACCCTTACTCTGTGAGGGCGGAGGGGTTAGCACTTGTGATTTTTCACAAGAGAGAGTAGAAACTCTTTTTCCTTTCTTTTTGTTATCATTATTATTATTGTCATTATTATTATTGGGCTGGATTGATAGCACAACAGGGGGGGGGTGTTTGCCTTGCACGCAGCCAACATGGTCAACCCGAGTTCGATTCCTCTGCCCCTCTCGGAGAGCCCGGCAAGCTACCAAGAGTATCTCGCCCACATGGCAAAGCTTGGCAAGCTCCCCGTGACGTATTCGATATGCCATACACATTAACAAGTCTCACAATGTTACTGGGCCCCCTCAAGCAAATCGATGAACAACGGGAGGACAGTGACAGTGATTATTATTATTATTGGAAAGAAGAGAACTTAAAATTTTCAGAGTTAAAGATAAGGATTGAGGCCAGAGAGAGAGAGTATAGGGGATAGGGAATTTTTCTTGTACATAGTTGATCTGGGTTTGATCCTCAGAGCCCCATATGGTCCCTTGAGCCCTGTCAGGAATGATCCCTGAGCACAGAGCCAGGAGTAAGCCCTGAGCACGACTGAGTGTGGCCCAATACAAACAAACAAAAAACTAAGGGCTGGGGCTGGAGTGAACACAGTGGGTGGGGCGTTTGCCTTGCTTGCAGCTGACCCAGGTTTGATTTCCAGCATCCTATATGGTCTCCCAAGCATCGCCAAGAGTAATTGCTGAGTGCATGACCCAGGAGTAACTCCTGTGCATTGCCAGGTGTGACCCATAAAGAAAAGAAAAGAAAAGAAAAGAAAACTAGGACTACATCAAAGAAAACCTAACAAAGAAAAAATTGTGTCTAGTTGCTTTCCTGGTCTGCTTGTACTTCTCAAGTCAAGGTGGGTTCCAAATTACATGTGGTTGGAACAAGAGTTGTTTTTTTCTTTAGTGAGAAATAGGGATTTTTATCTGAATTGTGGAGTGGGCCTAAAAAACCCATCTGTGAGGGCGCCTAGCCCCATCCTGCACTAGGAACTGGGGCTAAAGCGAGTGGCCGCGGGTCCTCACCCCACCCTCCCACCTTTCCTCTCCTGTGACCTGGGGCAAGTGCTCAGTATTCCGAAGTCTCGTAGCTCTGCCTGCAAAGTGCCAATAATAAAGCTCAAGTCAGGCTCTAGGCCAATGTGAAGAAAGCCCTATGCCCTAAGCTGTGTGTCCCAAGACACCTGCCCGCCGTCTTAGTCTGCTTATTTTTGGTTTGCTTAGGGGCTACACCTAGAAGTTCTGGAGTGCGGTAGGGGGTCACCCCTGGCTGTGTTTGGAGCACTGACCTTCTACAGGCAAAACCTGTGCTCAGTCCGTTGAGCACTCTCCCTGGCTTGCTCTCAGTTTTGTAGGTTTTTTTTTTTTTTGTCACACCTGACAGTGCTCAGGCCTTACTTCAAACCTGCGCTCAGGGATTACTCCTGGTGGGACTCAGGGGACCATATTGGATGCTGGGGATCAAACCTGGATCAGCTGCCTGCAAAATAAGTGCCCTATTTGCTGTACTCTCTAATGTTCCAGTCCTACCCGCAACTATAAACTTAATGCTTCCTTGACTTTCCGAGCACATGCATTCCCTGTGATTAGGCTCTTTGGAATTCAGAGTTTCTGGATGGGGCCTGCCACTGCCTTTCTCTCCTGGCCCTGAGTAACTCTGGGCCCAGAGGCTGTGAGGAGGCTGCTCACTAATATCTAAACACCACAGTGCTCAGCCCAGAATAGTACTGGAGCACTGTCCTCCTATTGTTCATCGATGGCTTGAGGAGGCACCAATAACGTCTCCATTGTGAGACTTGTTACTGTTTTTGGCACATCGAATACGCCACAGGGATTTTACCAGGCTCTGCTGGGCAGACAGGATACTCTCAGTAGCTTGCTGGGCTCTCCAAGAGGGACAGAGGAATCTAACCCGGGTCGGCCGCATGCAAGGCAAACACCCTACCCATTGTGCTATCACTCCAGCCCAGAGTAAGACTTCCACAAACCCTGGCTTCCATTTCCTTATCTGTAAAATGGGGAGACTGGTCTGTCTTCACTTGGAAACCAAAAGACTGCCCCCAAGGGATTAAGTAATGTAACCTCCTGAGTCCCAGCCAGCTAGGTGCTCTGGGAGTCGCTTTCGCTCCATTCCCTTCTACTGAGCGGTGGGGGTCATTTGCTCTGCCCGGGAGCCATCAGGATGGCACCCACAGATATGAGGAAACGGAGGCCAGAGTTTGTGGAAGGCTTACTCTGGGTCGAGCACTGTGATGTTTAGGTATTAGTGAGCAGGGTAAGATCAAGATCAAATTGTCTGGAGCCTCCTTGCAAGCCCTGGGCCCAGAGTTAGTCACTCCCAGGCCCACCTAGATCCTACTTTCTACAGGGATAGGGCTTTCCCCAAGTTTGTGCAGGTATAAAGTGCAGGACTGGGGGTTCCTGGCCCCCTCAGCCCTTCTGCTAACCTGAGGTTCCCTGAGAAAGTGGGTAGGCTCCCACTCTGACCCATTTACTGTCAGCTTGGAGACACACAGGATCGGAATTATAGCCCTTCTTACAGAGGGAGCTGGGACTTGTTGCAGGTCATCAGGCTAGTAAAAGTCGATGTGGGCATTCAAAGTGGGGAAGGAAGTGGTTCTGGGTGGCCCCCAGGGGACTCCTTACCCTGGAAGGGCTGAGCCTCCAGGTTGCCATAGGTGAGGGAGGCGGTGAGACCCAGGGCATAACCACTGACGAAGGAGGTGACTTCGGATGCGGTGAGGGGCAGGGTTGCCCCTGTGAGCTGGTTCAGCAGACCTGGCATCCTGCCAGCTACGCAGCTTTCAGGACCTGCAAGAGTCAAGAAGGGCAGCAAGTGGGGAGGGGGTCCCCTCTCCCTCTTCAGTTTCCACACGCACTTCCAGTGGGTGAGCCTCCATGAGGCAACCCAGTCCTGTCCAGGCCCTGAGAAGTGGTCCTGCCCTTTCCTGCCACTCCCAGGAAATACTTGGACAGGAGCTGTGGGATTCACCCCCAGCTTAGCCTTGACTCCCCATGGAGGACCAGAGAGAAGATTCGTCCTCACTCTGGAGGGCGGGTGGGCACCTGCTTCTATCAGCTATGGCATCCTGAGACCTGTGACATGACAGCCTGGGAATAGCTCCCCAAGTCCCTCCTTCTCTGACTCAAGTGCCCGTTTCAGTTCTCACTGGGTGCACAGGCTGACAGCCTGGGAGGCAATTCTGGTCCTGCCCACCACACCCCCACCACTCAGACTGTTGCCAAGTCCCTGCTTCATCTCTGGAAGATCCTGGACTTCACTGTGTCCTTTTTCTCTGTCACCAGCATCCTTTCCAAGCCCACTGCCATTCCTGCCTACAGGCAGCTCTCCCATTGGCCTCTCGGATCTCCCCTTCCCAAGCCAACATTCCAATACACAAGTTGGACTGGTCTCCACGACACCATCTCTCTATTTCCAGCGGTTTCCTGCTGCTGGTAGATGGACTCACATACACACACCCTCACAGATTGGGGCCTGTGGGGGTCCTTCTGGCCTCTGGTGCTTCTATATCCTCACACACATTTTGCGAGGATTCTCAGCTACTATTCCGTTACTCAAATGTGTCCCAGTCACTTCCATCTTTGTACTTGCCCTCTGTTTCCTGGAAACCTCATCCCAAGGCCCACTGTTTTTTTTTTTTTAATTGAATCACTGTGAGATACAGTTACAAAGCTTTCATGTTTGAGTTTCAGTCATACAATGATCGAACACCCATCTCTCCACCAGTGTACATTTTCTACCACCAATGTCTCTAGTATCCGTCCCCCCCATCCCAACCCTCCCCCTGCCTCCCTGCCTCTATGGCAGTCAATTTCCCTCTTACTCTCTCTCTACTTATGGGCATTATGGTTTGCAGTATAGATAGTGAGAGGCCATCATGTTTGGGCCTTTATCTACTTTCAGCACTCATTTCCCATCTGGAGCAATCTCTCCAACCATCACTGACTTAGTGATCCCTTCTCTATCCCAGCTGTCAAGGCCCACTTTGATACAGGGAGCTTTTAGTGTATGCTCCTGTGTCAACTCAGGGTGTCCCCCACAGGGAAGCTGGACCCCTAAGCCCAGCAACCTGTCTCTCATAGAGCCAAGTTTCTCTCTCAGAGAAGCTTCTGGAGGCTGGGTGGGGAGGGCGATGGTAGTGTGAGGAAACATTTGGTTTCAGTGAGGGCCTTGTTCTGGTCTGTGTCTGGAAGGTCTGAGGCACATATTCTGGCTCCTCAGAGCACTGGTGAAATGAATACAAGCATGGATGATAGGCCTCACGTTGGGGAGTTGGGGGTGGGGGAGCTTAGACTTCACAGTACTGTCAAGCCCCAGATAATCGCTTGCCTTTGAGAGGTGAGGAAGGAAAACAAATCAAGCAAAGCAAATAGGAGGTGAGACTTTTTTCCAGGTTCCCTCCCACTCCCCTACTGGGGTAGATCCACCATCTCACTGGCTAGGCTATTCAGTGAGCTCTGATAACGCTGACCCTTCACAAAGTCGGGAATTCTTGCCCTCAGAGTCTCCATCACCCACCGGTTCAGCTCCTGTGCTTCAGTTCTCTCTGCCAGACTCAACAGTGGCTTTTAATTAGGGTCTGGCCCAGACAACTCTCAGTCCTGGCTTATCTCCAGCAGGCTGACTGACAGCTGGGAGCAGATAAGGAGCTGCTGGGCTGTTGCTTCCTCTGGGGAGTTTGCTTTGCTGGTGGCTGTAGCAAAGCCTGGCTGCTCCCAAGGGGCAGAACAAGATGGCAGAATTCATTTCCGGATGGAGGCCATTTCCTCTCCGCTGCTGCCCATCACCCCTCCCCCCCCCCCCCCCCCCCCCCACTCCTCCACATCCGTGTTCACTCCCTGGCCTGCATGCTAAATGAGGCAGGCAGCCTTGGAAATTAGCAGCCAGATTGGACGCAAACATGGGGTGCATGTTGGGGTAGAGTTTTGCCAAGGCCAGTCTTTCCACACTGCCCCCAGAGCTCAGTCCAGGATGGCATGGTTGGGCGATAATGTTAACACAGAGCAGACTCCCGACAGATCCTCAACAATGGTAGCCCTCTAGGGAAAAGTTAACTTGAAATTCTGGGGTTGGGGGAGTGCTAACGGATGCCTATTTTCACCCATTCGTCCAGTATTGATCAGTACCTATTGCCTTTCCTGGTCCCAAATGAGCCACTGAGAATGCAAAGATAATACACAGCTCCTTCCTTAGACACTTAGATTTAGCAGTAAGGAGTCCAACAAGTGAAGAGCACTGTAATATGACAGAAACGAATGAGGTGGCACATATATGAATATCATTCAGCCCTCAAAGCAACCTTCTATAGTCCATAATCTAAAAGGCAACATTACATGCAAGTCTGGGGTACTCAAAGGATGCATGGCATAGGGCAATCTATTTGTAGTTGATGCTCTTTGCCCTTCTTTTGGGGTACCCTTTTCCCAGTGTTGCTCAGAAGGCCTGGGTAACCCTCCTCATGATTCTCAATCAACCAGACTGGCAGGTCTTTGTAAGGTGAAAGGCTGTAGTGCTGAAGAAGACCCCTTTACCTCCCAACAGTGCTCAGCTCAGGTGCCTTCAAATCATATCCAGAGGTACTTGGGGGCCTCCAGGGCTTTACCTGATGATGCTCAGGGGACCATGAGGTACTGGGGTCTATCTGAATCAGCCAGATGCAAAGCAAGTGCCTGAAGTTCTACACAACCTCTTTAGACTCCCATTCTCCCTTGAGTGAGCTCTAGGTCACGGGAGGCACCTGAGACTGACAAGGAAGAAGCAATACAAAAAGTCAGGGATGAGATCTTAAAAAGGATCTGGGATGAGCAGATATCAGAACGTCAGTATTGGCATATAGTCTTTTTCCTTTGCTATATCCTTCGTGATTTACTACACAGTCTTCGTATAGGTTCTTGACTTTTGAGATACTGAATCAGGAAAATGGGTTGGAGAGGTGAGAGAAAATAGCAAAGGAATTAGTAAATTGGGTCTGGGAGAAGAGACCGGGGCCAGAGACCTTAGAACACCTATGAGGGACATTTGGGGAGGAACAGAAAAATGGATTATTTCAAAGACGGTGCCCTGTAGCATCTTTTGTTTCTTTGGATAAAATATGCTGATTGTGAGCCCTAAGAATTTCCTATAGACTCTAGGAGACTCTAAGCAGCTTCTGGTATGGACATTCCACACCAACACTGTTTCTTGCTGGTCTAGAGTTCAGAAATCTCAAGTGATTTTTGTCCTTTTGGGGCCAAGCAAGCCTATATTTGAATCTTAGTTACTTAACGCCTCACTCACACCAAAGGAGTCACTTCATCCTCAAAGGCTGGTTCCTACATCTAAAAACCTGGATGAATGGTGAGATCAATGGGCTCCTTGCTCACTTGCACTCGACAATTAAAATGAATATAGTCATCTTTGGGTATCGTGAGGGATTGGTTTCAAACCCTGCCTCCCTACCCCCACCCCGTTCCCATCCAACAGATACTGAAATGCAGGGAGGCCCTTGTCTCTTCTATAAAATGGCATACTATGGCTGAGACATCCCAGACATCGAGCCCAGGGCCAGTCCAAAGAGAGTCCCCCACAGCCACTTGTTTCCACATTGCAAAATCGCTGCCATGCCCCTGGCCAGAATCTATTGTGTTGGGACCAAACCTCATCCAGAAATGAACCAGCTGAAAATTGAGGTATGCCGATTTTCAGAGTTATATTTGTGACTGAAATCTCCAGGCTTTCTTGGAGTCGGGATAGGTTACCTCCCCACACCTTTCTTTACTTCTGGAAGATCCAGCAGTCACGTCCATGCCCCAAAACCATGGTCCGGTTAAAAATTTAACTCCACTTGTACCACCCAGTTACAAATTCTGGACTTTTTGGAGTGTGCGAGCAGCCACCTTGTGGCCTTGAGACATCTCCAAAAGGTATAAGAGTGATAACCCAGCAGAAGCACTCAGACTGAGAAGGCAACCAATCCCCACTAACCAAACAGTAACACAGAAGTCCCTCATACAAGGACTTAATGTCTCTGTGGTGAGATACAGTGATTTACACTAATTTTCCTTTAAGAAAATATTTTTGATCATTCTGTTAGCAATTTGTTGATAATAAGCAATATAAAATAAATTACTGTGAGCCTACTATGGGGACAAACTTGAGGAGTAGTTGAGAAAATTGGAGACAATGGTAGAGGGAAGGTGATAATGGTAGTGGAATTGGTGTTGGAATACTGAATGCCTCTAACAAATCATCACGAACAACTTTCCAAACCACAGTGTTTATATAAAGTGTAGGAGGAGAAATTTACATAAGTAGGCCTTACCTATTTCATGTAAATTCCAAAATATATTAGTACACAATTTCTTTAAAAGTTTTATTAATGATAGGTAAGGCATAATTATTATCATGATGATATCCAAAAATTTAATGCAATATACTTTGGATTCCAGAGTTGAGAACTTACTTATGTAAATGAGAATAAGCATCTTGTTATATTTCCTTAAAGAGTTTTTATTTCCTTATTCACATAGTTTAAAATAATATAGAAATCACAAATTGGCTCTTACTAATTTATTTTCCGATCATTGTATTTGCTGTTTCTTAAAGTTTTGTTGGAAAAAGTAATATAAAGCCAATTTGTTACATGTCTAAGGGGGCATTTTGGGGATGGGAAGGAAACTGGGACACTGGTAGAGAGAAGGTTACACTGGTGGTGTTGAAACACTAAATGCCTGAAACAACGGTATAATGGACAACGTTTTAAATCATGGTATTTTTCATAAAAATAAATATAAAAATAAAATGGCATTAT